TTGCTTACGGAGTTCATAGACAAGCAATCAGGCAGGCAGGCAGGCAGGCAGCGATCCGCGATTAGCAAATCAAATGTAATCAAAACAATGAAAGTTTGCTATTTTAATATTTGCTTTTTTGCTGCTATTCTCTGCGATCGTTGTTATCAATACATTGGTTCTACAGAGTGAGTTGAACGATACTGGCGTTGGATTACGTAATCACGTTTGTTCGGTTCTATGGTTGAATTATAGCTAGCACAATTAAGTTGCAAGCCCATAAATGCAACTGAAGCACTGATATACTTATCAGAATGATTAATATATTCTATTCGAAGAAGTTGATAATTATTTTCAGTGCATTCAAATCGATTTCGAACGCCACTCGAGAAGAAAAACATAAACGAATCAATCAAAGTGTAAGCGAAGAAAGTCCACTCGAAACTAAGATATAAATAAAACATCGAAAAAAAGGATCTGATACAAATTTGTCAAGATTCAAGGGCAAAATGAAGGAAAATTACAAGCGAAATGCATTTTTGTTTCGTCTGAATTTAATAGTCACAATAAGATTCGAGTATTCGCATGTATTTCCAGGCAAAATTGAATTGCGGAAGGAACCAAACAACATTCATTATTCATCTATCGCATCTCCGTGCTGCTTGTTTGAAAATTCATATCTACCTGATATCTCATTATCTATTGCTATATAATTTGCCAGTGAATTAAATATCTTTCAATCCGTTTATTTTTCGCTCGTTCTTTATTTCAATTCACGTCAAGCCAACGATTTGAATTGAATCATTTGTGATGATGTAATCGTGTCTATCGTTTGCAAACTATTAGCACAATTGAGTTGACATTAAACTTGTCCGCAGCGGAAGGCATTGAACAAAAACATTACTCCCAGCTAGCGGCGGTAGTACGAAAAATGTTTGTTGGCACGTAAACATAAAAAAAGAGAGATAGAGAAGAGCACCACTCACACAAACAATTGGGGAAAATTGGTAGTAGTAGCGGCGGTTGGCATTCAACCCAAAGGAATAAAAGGCTTGTGGAAACACCGACCAAATTCAACATGACATACCATTACTAGCTAGCGGAATGGCCGAAAACCATCCATGGTCTTCTTTTTCAGATTCTCTCTCGCGACGACGTCGATGTGTGTGTAATTTTATGCGTCGCTTTTGGGCTCGTAACCTTGAAAAATGAAATGAATGATACTTTATTGTTGTTGTTGGTATTTTGTTGCGAAATTTTTCATGTTCGCTTAGCTACAGACGTATGCCACATGTGTGTGTTTGTGTGTGTGCTCGCCTCGCAACAAATTACACACCATTTTGTGTGTCAGTGTGTTCCATCATTATATTCCCTTTTTATTCTGCTTCTTTTTATGGTTTTTATTCGCTGAACGCAATTACAAGGCAGAGCAACACGCTCGGGGCAACACAGACGCTTAGAAAGACGACGTAAGCAAGCATATAAAACCAATCAAATGGAACTGGAAGAGAAAAGTATGAAAACGAATTTCATCTGCATACACAGATGGGGAGAGAGAGAGAGAGAGAGAAACAGTTTTTTTTACACAATGTGACCGCAGACATAGTTTTGGATGTTGTTAGCTCAATTTTGGAGTGTGACACAATTGGGCCCGTTGTTTGTCGTTCTTTGTTTCGCTGTGTATCTACTTCTGGACGCACACTCACTCTGTTTATTTACACCATTTCGTTGTTTATTTATTCAGAACTGTTCGATTATTACCGAGAACCTGCCTGAACTGTAAACAGATTGTGAGCTAAATAGAATCGACACTTGTCGAGAAACCTAAATAAAAAAAACAGAGCAAATTTTGGCAGAAAATTCCACTGTAGCTGCTGTCCGAAATGAAATCAAAAGTGAACATATTCTCGCTTTCGCTTTTTTCCTCTCCTTTGTCTAGTTTGATTTCGTATAGATTACCACTGTACTGGAATCACACATTTTTGTTTGTACACACGAACCAGTGTTTTAGGGTGCGACAGTGGATTTTTAATGTCATTGGCATAGTTCTGATGCTGGTAATTTTGTTAGCGTTATGTTACGCTTGTTGTTGTACTACTTCGTAGAAGATCTCACGACATTGTTCATTCTGCAGTTCATTCGATCAACATCAACAATCGGAATTATTGAACGTAAACCTGTGCATTCTGGACTTTTTTTGTCGTTTTATGAATGAAGCCGGATGTTTTTTTTCTCGAATCGTTTTCCGATTTTGATTATGTGAAATTGAGTAAAATATCAAACAAACTGTGCACAATGCTTATCGCCCGAAATCGATAAATTTACTGAAATCAACATATTCAAATCAAAGCGAAAAAAAATATGCTGAGCATATTCATTGCACGTCGTACAATTCATTTCCACATCCGAATCGCATTGGCAAATATATTTATTTGCCTTGTTTTATATTTGTTATCACATCCATCAGAAAGCGTTGGCTGCTATGTGCTGTGAAAAATGTGATAGAGAAAGCGAAAAAAAACTGCATCTAAAATTATACGCGCAAAAATACCAATCGAAGTGATGTCGAGAGAAGAAGAACGGAGAACAAAGAGAAGAAGAAGAAGAACGAGAAAAAATTGTGAACAAAAACATCAAGAGCGAAAAAAAATACGCACACATGAATCATTTCAGTGTTTTTATGCTAAATTTATTTTTTGCATTGTGTTCTTCTTTTGCTTTCACATTTAATCACATTCGCACACTCGTCCAAAGCACACACAAACGCACGCATACTCGCATACGTACAGTGAGTCAAACCGAAAGCAATTCGCACTGTCAATGCTCATGCAAAGCAATGTTGTTCATTCGCGTCGTCTACTCTCCCTTTCCATGTCAGGCTCTTCATCGGTGTGTGTGTGTGTGTGTGTTTTTGTTGTTTATTTTTGTTCCGAATAAGTTATCTCATTTCAGGCGACTTATTCTTCTTCTTCGGCAGCTCGGCTACGACGACGACGTCGATGGGCAAATACAGCGACAACGCCATTGCGTTTGCCCATAAAATGTGTCGCTCTTCGCCACATCGTTCGCTTGTTTATTTTATACATTGTAATGAAGTTCCTGACAAAATATCTATAGCAAGCACACTTTTAATGCAAAACAACGCATTTAATCTCCGACAAATAATCTATGGCAAACATTTTATTTGAACATTTTCGTTGTTCTTTTTCGTTGGTTGGTTGTGCATGAGTGTGTGAAATGCTTGGCTCAAATGTGATAATTTGTTTTGCAATTCGTTGCCAAAGTTATCACTTATCAGCGACGATTTTTCAATGCTTTTTTGCTGTGGTTGCTTCAGCTCTCCTATGTTTTTCGAGAGTAAAAGTTTGTTGTAATAACAAAAATTCGATTCGAGCTGAGATGATAAGCAAACGATAAAAATAGCTCTTTTTTCACTTTTGCTGATGGCAAATTTATTATTAGGTTTTGTTTATCTTTTTGCTATGCATTCGATGTTTTTATTTTTCTTTGATATGGATTTGTTTGCGTGAAGCCAAAGAGAGAACTTGGCGTGCTCCTGTGCAATCATGATTACATGAAACAATTTCTTCCACCTTTCCTGAATTGCTTCAATCTTTCACGTTAAAAATCACTAATTAAAATTTATGGATGGTTATTGTTGTTGTTGTTGTTTTTTTTTTTGTCATTAATGCACTTTTATTATCGTGCATTTGCAAACATACAACGTCAACAGAATGAAGACAAAAAACAGCGGCATGAGATATTTGAAACAAAAAAAAGGTGTTTTGCGGATAGAGGCAATAGCAAAAGGGCAAAACGAACAATGCGTTTATTGAGTCAAAACGTTTGCATAACGTAAACAACATTTCGCACACGCACATCGCCGACCAAATATGAAACAAACAATTCTAGAAAAGACTTCGAGAATCGGCTTTTGCTGGCATTTTCGTCGCTGTTATTCTTCATTAATATGTAAATAAAATGAATAGAGAGGAAAAACGTAAAAAAAAAATGCGTTGTGTTCAACACACATATTTAAAACGTTTGAAGTGAATACAAAAACAGAACTGAGAAAAAAAACGAGCATGCAAAAAATACGTCGTTGCCGTTGTTGATCTGGCCATAGCGAAGCGAAAGAGTGGGAGATGCATGAAAATATTTCGCTTTTTTGTGTGTTTTGTTGTTATTGTTACTGCTGCTTGTTTTCAATCCGTTCATCGTGCATGAAAAACAACCAGAACCTATTTGAAACATGTCAATCGGTTGATTTTACGTTTGCACACCGTGTGCCTGAGCCTGTGTGTGTGTGTGTGTATGTGACACGGCTGATTATAAATAAATGGGCGAGTAGAATGGAGGCCGATAAAAGCCAATAAATTCGTTGCAAAGAGATGAAAAATATATGCAAACGAGATATGTATATCACCAGGCGAATGCGTAATGAATGCAGAGAAAACGGCGAAAGATCGCAAGAATAAAAAAAAAAAACATGTCAAATGATATATATCTTTTAACTGGATGAACATGCAGTAGTGCTCCCCAATCGTGTTGCTGCATAACTTTGTTCCGTTGGTTTGCTTCGTATTTACATCGAAATCGGCGCAGTAAATCAATCCGCTTTTTTGTTGTAATTTTTGTTATATTTTTAAATGACTGATGCATTTATGCTTATGGAGAGCAAATGAAATGCTCGCACCTTGTGTGCACGACCACTTCGGCTGTGTTAATTACTTTGGAGCTCCAAAGACTCGCTCGCTCTCGCTGCACCACTGTAACCAATACCGAACACAACACTTGTGTGTGAATGTAATTCGTGCGGCCCAAACCAAGCCAACCAAACCGACGGAAAAAAAACAGCGATGAAGAAGAAGACAAAAAACAGCAAGAGCAACAACAGCAACAGCAGCAGCACACATTGAAATTGCAATTGCGCTCCGAATTGGATATATATTGACAACAAAGTAAAACGCAGCTCATATAATAAATTAAAAATAAGAAAATTGTGATTCTATTTTTAGTCTTCGCTTCATTTATATTCGCAATCGTTGTCGCCGATTTTTATAGCCATTGCAGCCGTTGTTTGTAATGCTTCTCATTCAGGCTGTTGCTGCTGCTGCTGCTGTTGCTATTCGCTTACGATCATATTTTTGCGTTCGTTCTACGGCGTTGAACAGCTCGAATAGGTGCAAATGGTGAATGTTGAATGTGAATTGGTCGGTCGTTGATTTCACATTCTCATAAGAATTTGACGGAATACTTTGTTTGGCTCCTTTTCAGCCATTTATACACACACACACACACACACACACTATTTTTTTTCCTTCAATTTTCTATTGGTTGCTCAGGGAAAGAAAAGAAATAGCGCTGCCATAATCCGGTCTGTGTTTTTTTTTCGCACTATAAACGAGAGGAGCGCACAGAAAAAAAGGTGTTATCATCAGCGTACGACGGACGTACGGCATAAACTGTACGTTTACCACCTGCATTGAGTTTTTTTTGCATCTTTTGCAAAACAAGTCCATAAATTAAATAACTTCGGCTGAATGTGTGTTTGTGCGCGAGGCTCGCAATGCAAGCGCACACACCCACCGAAATTCATGAAATTAATTTTTGTTAACGAATTGCATACGTGCGCTTCAAGCTAAGCAACTAAATGGAAAAAGAAGAAGCTCGAAATGAACAGAAAATAAAAAAAATAATAAAATACTCGACGATTTTGTCTGGTTTGGTCAACATATTTTGCAGTGTGTGTGTGCGCGCTTATGTATAAGCCGAACTGTAAAAACTGGTTACTCAAAATGTGTTTGTGCGCCTTTTTTGTGGATATTTCTTTATCTGTTTCATTTAGCTTGTGTGTTAAAGTCGTTGAAGAAGTGAAATTACCGCCAGAAGAACACACCACAATATTTTCGAACGTCGATTGAACGAATCGCCCGTCAGCAACGATAAAATAACTAAAATGAATTAAGCGTCAGCGCTTTTGTGTTTATCTCATCGAACCCCTCGATCCAGTCTATATCATCACTCAATCGAAATGTCATCGTTGCAATCAAATGCAAATCTCAACCGATTTGTGTGATTGCTGACAAGCCGACAAAATATCAAATATTTATTTGTTTCGATTTGCTTCGTTGACTTATTAACTGGTTTCTAATTAACTATGCAATCTCTTGACCAAAATGATAGACAGGTCATTTCAATTCTGAATAATTTATTTAAAGTCATTCATAAAATATTTTATGTTTCTGTTTTTTTTTTTTTGAACTGACGAAAAAAGTTTTAATCGATTTCTTTTTTGCTCTTCTCTTTCACAGTTTACACAATTGATGTATATATACACAGCGGTGATTGAAACATAACGACACGAAAATATGTGAAATCGTTAAAATGATTTTGAATTGAAAATTTGAGTAAATAAAAAAAGTTCGTCGTTGTGACTAGAAGAAGAAAGAGAAAAGGACAGAACAATTTCAAGTGACATTTTTTTTTCGGTTGTTTTGAATTCAATGCGAACACATACGACTCAGAAATTCAAAAATGATTAGCAGTATCAGTCCGAGCAGCGGTGTTGATAGCTATTCTCGGTACGTGCAGTTCAATAATAACGGGTACTTAATTGACGAGACCCTAAATTCGGTGCAAAGTGATCGCTTGCAACGCGTTACAAAGCAAATCACTGAACTCGGAAACAAAATGGGCGCAAGTGATGTTGATGTCAACTATTCGATTGGCACTGAATCGATCGCTACGCGAAATAATTGGTGTTCAGATGCATCACAGAAAATGACAAATGGTGTGCGATTGAGCACAAGTGCCGACGATTCGGATTCGAGTGAATCATTTAAAACGGGCACCGATCAATTGCAAGCAACCGCATGCGGAAAAAGTGACGAGGAAAAACCGATGCCCGATCATCATGCACGTCGGCCGATGAATGCATTCTTGATTTTTTGCAAACGACACCGTGGCATCGTGCGTGAGCGCTATCCAAATTTGGAGAATCGGTAAGATTCTTGATTATTTTACATCTTGCACAATATTCTCATCATTTTTTTTAAACGGATTTTATTTCGAATTTTCTTTTCGGTGCATTTACAGCGCAATCACCAAAATTCTGGGCGATTGGTGGGCCAATTTGAACGTGACCGAGAAGAGCAGCTACACCAATTTGGCAAAAGAAGTGAGTATTTCGTTGAAATTTAATGGATTTTATCAACACACTTGAGGAATGTCTAAAATTTACGCATTTTTCCAATCAAAAACAGTACAAAGACGCATTTTTCAATGCAAATCCGGATTTCAAATGGTATAAATTGCCAGCGCCGCCACTCCGTACCGGCTATCAACGAATGGCCAGCGATCGTCACAGCAGCTTCTCCGAACCGTACAATTTTTCCGATTTTGATCTGCAACCACCAAAGATCAAATGCAAGCGTTACGAAGGTTCCGGTGTTGGCACATTTTTTAAGCTCGCAGACGAAGCACAAATGGGTAGCTTGAGCAGTTTAATGGTATCCAGCGAAATAAACGGAAAGTGCGCAAACAACAACAACAAATTCATGGCAAACAACATGGAAGTTGATGAGGAGAAAGACGATGAAAAGGGTAAATTAAAATTGTTTCATAGGAAACAAATAAAATCAATGAATAAATTCTCAGAACCAGGCTAATTTTTCTATTTTTCCCTACCCGAATCAGATGGTGACATTTCCGATTCAAAGGACGAGCTGCATCGCGTGTTGGGCGAAACCAACTCATTTCTCCAGAACACAATGAAAGGGTACGAACATCTGGATGAGTATCCATTCGAAAACAATGCAACAAACAATGACATTCCACAAAAATTGTTGCACAGCCAAATGAGCAGCAGCAGCCCTGAAATGAAGCATTTTGAACTGGATTCACCAGATGACGATCACAATCCGTACGACTCGGTGTTTGGATCAAAGAAATCGTCACGTGCATGCAAGGGCAAGCGTTACATGGAATTCATGAACGCTCAAAAGTTGAATCCGATCGGTAAGCGAACCAAGCCACGTACAACATCAACGTCATCATCGACATCATTGTCACCGACGCAGCCGTTGCATGTGCGCTCGCTCAAAAAATCGCTGAGCTGTTCTCAAGCCGTCCAGAAACTCGATTACGATACATTCGATCATTTGTATGCGAATAACAGCGCAACCATTTTGTCATCGACTACAGCCATAAAGAATGAGACTGAGGCCGTTGATAAATCGGCTGCAAACAAGAATGAAATGTTGGTGTCGCCGAGCGATAGCCGCAAATTTGATGTGACCGAATTTGAGCTAGAGCAAAAGATCAACGCACTAACCGCGCATAATCTCGATGAATATTTGGTTCGCAAACAGGACACCAAAAAGAAGAAGAAACCAAGCGACAAGCGCTCAGGCGGTGGATATCGAAAAGTGCATAAAGTTGGTAAGGCCAAAGTCAAATCATTGCCGGCTGTGCATGCCATTGTCGCACCAAAAACATTTGAAGAGGCACGGCTTGCAATGGTTGGCAGCCAAAAACGAAAAGCGCGCAAGGAGAGCATCACACGGCGCGATGTTCAACAAGTCACCGCAATTGTACAAAGCTATTCGCCAACGCTGGATCCTCATTTTGTGCCGATGTTGACGACACCATTCGGTAGCAATGCATCATCGAGCAATACAATTCGATGCGGAAATTCGGGTCTCCTAATGCTGGCCACAATGGCCGAAGTGGCTGCTGCCAATTACGCCGTTTAGCTTGCGTGCAGTGTGCTGGCCGCAATCGAAATGCTCAAAAAACCGAAATTCATGTGAAAAGAAAAACAAAGAAACCTCATCATCAAGCCTCGACTCCATCATGTGTCAAAAAAATGTTGTTGCAAACAACAAATCGATAGAGTAAACGTTATTATAGAAAATATAGAGTAGTTGTTAAGCATTCATGTCGTGTTGTAGGCTCACACCAATATTCGAATGTGTCGAAAGTACAAAGAAAACTTTGTCTCGTCGACAACCTCTGTTTATGACTATTTTCGGAAAAAATGTCTTCTCTTTTCTACTTTCACAAAAGAATGTGCCTACAAAATTAAGTAAAAAATCATATAGAAAATGTATCCACAAAACCAAATCAATAGGTCTGCAATGTGCGCAAATAAGTTACAATTCTGACGAACAATGAAAGCAATGAACAGTTGTTAACAAATACCTCTAATTCATCAAGCCTTCTATCCTATGTCATTGCAGAGCAATAGCAATATTTTATAAATCTCTGCATTCATTTCCCATTTCGATGCATATATATGCTATTCTCTCCCAAATAAATATTACTTCATTCAAATCAGTTAGTCTTGTGCTTGTTCCGAACTAAAAGCAACGCGCAAGTCTCAGCATCGCTTCACCATTGTCTTGTTTGTTTTTTTCTTTGTTTTTGAATTTATATTTATTTATTGATTTCATCCAAATGAAACACGGTTTTTTCTTTCTTCTTCTTCTTTAGTTTATTGTTTGTTACATGAAAACATTACATTGAGTATAATTACATAGCTAGAATTTAAGTTGATTTACCCAATTCTATAACATAATCACAACGAGAGTGCCTTATCGAATGAAATAAAAAGACACGTCACATATATTTGTAGAGAGTTAAGTGATCAAAATACATTTATAACTTTTAAAATTGTTACAACAATACCAATCACTTTCCAGTTTTGAATCGATGAAAATATAATTTTTTTTTCAAATGCATTTACCAGACACATTGACGCTTTTTATTTCAATTATCTATCCTCTATTCAAACTGAATTCAATGGAACAAAAAAAAAAAACGATTTTATTTCATTTTTAAACTGAAACTTTTTATTGAACAAACAATTGTGCTGCGTCTGAATCGAGTGAAATTGTTTTCATCGAAGGGTAAGTAAACTGCAAAGTTAACAAACAAAAGTGTCCATGAACCAAATAAAGTAAAATGAATCGACATTAATGTCAATATACGAGTTATAGAATATTATGAATTTTCAGATAAATTTCTTCAACTTTCGAACCTTTTTATATCGGTACATACATTTGAAAACATTTATTTCGAATCTGATCAAACAGCTGTGGTTATGAACAGCTGTGGTTATGAAATCATAATGAAACATTCTTTCGTTCATATGAAAAATATTAATGTGAAATGACACGATATTCTCAAAATAGAACCGAAATTCCCATACAGACTTTACATTTTCAAATTCCTTGCGTCCAATGTGAGTAATCGATTCAGAACATCGCAACATGAATTTGAAGCCAAAAATTAAATAAAGATGACACTTACAAAAGGACAACTCGAACATTTGACAATTCAGTAGATGAAAAATGGTCGCTGTGATCATAAAATAATCCTCAAATCCAACGAAATATGCTTCAATACATAAAAAAGGTTATTTTCAATGTAAAATATTGCATCTTAAAAACATCATCCAAAACAAGCATACTCTTGCATATCTAGTAAGCGTTGTTGGTCGAAAACTAAATAGATATCGATTTGTCAAGTATTGTAAGTGAGTTAAGCCTATATCGTGTAGAAGATTTTCTCAATAATTTGGGCAACTCAATCGCGGCTATTGCATATGTGCCACATCCTCGGCATATAATTACAGCTCAAATTTGGAGAGGAATTATGAATAAACTTTTCATTCGTATAAAATATTGAAATTATAGCATGAAGGTAAGTTCAAATTTCCTTTTTTTATACAAAATTTCTACGAACACTTTCTCGCACAAATTTTTTTTCTTCGAAAGCATATAATTTTGAAAAATGTTTTGTTTCATTATACTGCTTGCATATTCAAATTCAAAATTTCACTAAACACCGTAGAGTAGTCGCAGCATTGGTACTTTAGTGAAAATGAAGCTAAATTTTTTGATTAATTTCGATAGCACAGTAACTGAACCATCACAATCGCTTAGGAGAAGGTGAAATATGAAGAACGTACAATATCAGAATATACAAATTTCGTTTTACAATGCTCTTAAATGATATCGATCACAGAACGTTCAATTTCAATGTGCTCTTTCGATTGGTCACTTCCGTTTGTGTTGAACGCAATGTATTCTAAATTAAAACACATATTGTTCTAACTATCCACCACAGAAGGTCAGAAAATAATCTTTAATTTCGTAGAAGACATGTTGTGTCCATAACTTCGTTCATTTACTGATGAATTCCCAAAAAAAAAACTGGTAAATTGAATCCATCTTAACTTGATTTAATTAGTTCCAAAGAAATGAATGATATTATACAATTTGGGTATTTTCCAGCAATTAGATATTCATCTAATGAAAACAGACATTTCATTAACATTGAAGAAGAAGCACCAAGAATTCTACTAATTTGATTGGTTATTCGTCCGTTTCATATGACAGTAACATAGATTCAATGATCAATTACTTTTAAATAGATTTTTAAATGCAATTTTTCTTTGTTTTGAAATTAATTCAGAGAACAAATTGATTCTATACCATGAAATTCATGGATGACAGATCACATTAAAGACCTATTCAAAATAATCAAAAAATATGATTGGTGGAAAGATTACCATACACGGTCATGTTTATAAACATGTTTGTTTCAGAACAGAAAATAGATAGCGTTTATTAGATGATTCGTTAGTAAAAAAAATAATCTTAAGTGAAGTTTAGATAAATGGAGTTTAATTCCGTTAATTCCAAAATTAAATTTTACTCCAAAGGCACGGAAAAGTAAATCATGAAATATTGGGTTCAATGAAGAATTCACACTCGATAAATTTGCCATCGATCAATTCGTGAAATTGAATCCATTAAAAAATGTTAAAATAACGACAAAATATCTGAGCATCAGGCTAACATTTGTCGACATCATAGTTATACGACTACAATATTCAAAATGACTGAAAATTTACTCAATTCGAAATCCGAAGGGAAACGTGTTATCCTAGATTTAGTAGATTTTTAACAAATTCACTATTTTTACTTTTCCGCACACGAAGTGTGAAGGAAAGTATAGCGATCGTCGAGAAAATTTTAAAATTTCGTTGTATACACGATAACTTACAAAATAGCAGAGCGATTTTGCTTAAATTTGGCCAGGAGGTAGCTTACGTAAATATCTTGGATGTATCAGAAATTGGACCAAATTGAGCCAGTCCATCACAGAGAGTTTCGTTTCGTCGTCTTGAAGCTGCCATTAAATTTTCAGAACGGTTTTCTAGCTGTGAAGGGAGTTACAGCGCCATATGTGATTAGAAAAGTCATTCTTTGAAAATTTCTTCGTTTGTTTCATGCTAGGTGATATTGATCGACCATATGGGTGCTAGTAGGTAATGTAAGTGTCTTAATCGGTAGAAAATCACATTTTCTTTGATTTGGGAATAGGGATTCTCAATATGTTGATTTTCTGAAGACTTGGGCTGAACAGGCCAACTCCCTTGTTACTAACATTTTTTGTCTTTTATATATTGTTCCATACTGGGCAATATTTTTGATAATAACTCAATTTGCCCACACGAGATATCGCTCAAAGTTGGCTGAGAGTCTCGTTTCGTCGTCATGAAGCTGCCATTAAGTTTTCAGAATGGTTTTCTAGCTGTGAAGGGAGTTACAGCGCCATATGTGATGAGAAAAGTCATTCTTTGAAAATTTCTTCGTTTGTTTCATGCTAAGCAACATTTTTGATGGTAACTCGATTTGCCCACACGAGATATCGCTCAAAATCATTCGAAAAATCAAACCAAAAGATCATTTTGAAATAAACCATAAAATCTACTGAAAAAGTGAAATCTGGTGCAGGAAAAAATCCTTTGAAATTCGATTAAATTATCGCTTGAAATTTTTGGAAATAAAAAAAATACAATTTAGCATTTAAATTAAACCATTAATTAACAAAGAGATTATTTGAAATGAAAAAAGTTAATACGAGGGTTGCTATTTAAGTTTCTGGCCTAACAATGGAAGAACCAATTTTTATGCTCGAAAATGGCTTTATTGTTTTTCAAAATATTCTCCCTGCAGCCTATTTCACCAAGGGTCAAATGACGTCAAATTCTGTTTTAACATAGATTATTACAAATTCCAATTATATTTTATTGTTTAATAACATTGTTTACTTGTTTGAAATGCTTTCAGCTATTTATATCTACAAAAAATTTCTTGCATATTTTGGAATTATTTTTAAAACAAGATCAAATTAAGAACTAAAATTTTGATTTTTTCCAAGCCTAATTCATTTCTATTCAAAACTTCTGGAAGGTTTTGGGAGTTAGATTTTTAACTTGGACAAATTTTGAACGCATTGAATGATTAGTTTGTGAAAAATAAATGAAACTTCTATCAGACTTAAAACTTAGACTTCAAACCTGAATAATAATTCTAAGCCAAATTAAAAATTTCATTTATTTGTTCTGAAAATTGATATTGTTTGAAAAACGGCTTGAAATTATTATTCAGGTTTGAAGTCTAAGTTCTAAGTCTGCTAGAAGTTTCATTTATTTTTCTCAAAATTATCATTCAATGCGTTCAAAATTTGTCCAGGTTAAAAATCTAACTTCTCAAACCTTTTGGAAGTTTTGAAGAAAATTCGGGAAATTTCGAGTTATTTTCAAGCCTAAGAAACTAATCCACGAAAAAATCTTATAAATTGGAAAAATATCAATTTTGGATCAGTATCAATAAGAATGCAGGCTCCAGAGATAGAAAAATTGTTGTTTAATTTTTTTAAATTTGATTATCTTTGATCCAACAATGTCTTTCGGAAACATGTGAGTTCATATTGACTGAACAAAAAAATTGAAGTGTGAACTAAATAAAATTAATCACTGAGAATTATTATCGAAATTGCAACTAATAATATATATTGGCAACACATATAACCAGAACTGGTGATATTCCTAATACTAGTAAATAGTGGGTACAACTATAACACGAAATTATGGGATAACTCAACAGAAATTACATAAGAATATTCTTTTTCGTGATAACTTTTTTCGGACTGTGGCTAACTCCAAAGTAAGAACGTATTTACAATAGTACGAAAATCTGTGTTAGTGGCAAATCGGCATATTTGGTACCGATATTGGTGGTATTTCCAACGGAAATATTTACGTTTGGTGTTAAATACATCCATTAGTACCAATTTTCGGTGATAATTTACGAAATAGTGGTAAATGTAGGAATAGTACTTCAGAAAAGGTTCTAGTGTTATTTTATCACTAAAATCGACTTAACACGTGTTAAAGTAAACGAAATATTTAGACCCCAAATGTTTTCATGAAAAATTTTCATGAGATTTTCTTCTCAAGTTTTTTTGCTGAAACAAATGTATCTAAATGTAGCAATGAGAAAATCTCAATAGAAACGTGAAAATATTCTCATTTTTTTGACATTATTCTGAGCGCAAATTTTAAATTTTCATTTATTTTTGAGCCAACCATAATGTGATCTCACATTTTTGTGAAAAAATCTCGAAATTTCAAGTTGGCGCTCAAAATAATGTCAAAGAAAATGAGAATATTTTCACGTTTCTATTGAGATTTTCTCATTGCTACATTTGGATATATTTGTTTGACCAAAAAAACTTGAGGAGAAAATCTCATGAAAACTTTTCATGAAAACATTTGGTGAAATAGGCTACTGATGATCGATACACTTTTGCATGCGCTTGAATCAATTTTCGAAGCACTTTAAAAGTTAATACGTATCAATCCAACGTGTGCACTTTCGTATGGCATTTTTCCGCAAGCATGGAAAATTTTTCCGCGAGCGGTAAAAAGGCAGTGATCTTCGGATTGATATTTCCACCTTCTGGTGAATTTCTTTGTCATTTGACTCGTCTTTTCTTTCTAAAAAAAAGAGCCAAACGAATCATCAACGCAACTAACAATTGCAGCCTTCATTTTGGTCTGAATTTGTTCAGTGACACAAACAACACAGAGCTCATTGTTTCTAACAAAGCAGACAGTCAATTATATTACGGAGTGAAATTCTCAAGAATGAATCGTCGAAAAAGAAATTGAAACTTCACTTGGTCAGTGCGTTGATAAAAATAGCAAACGTCGTATTTTTGCAGACATAATAAAAGAAAAAAATGTGTGCGACGGAGACTAAATGTGTAAAGTCATCTCGTTGATCATAAAAGTTTGTTTATTCTCTCTTATTTTGTAATGTTTGACATATCCGTCGTTCAATGCATACGAATTTTGTGTGTGTGTGTGTGCGCGCGTTTGTCTTAAATACGGGTTTTACTTTAAGTCGACTAGATCAAAGCCCAACGAATTGCCTAAGTAATGCAATCGAACAAGAAAATCATGTGTAAACAACAAGTTCAAGCAGTATACATATGAGAAATGACCGAAGTCTAAACATTGATGCGGTTCAATCGACATCTGTGGAAAATGGCATGAAAATGACGTGCACATTTCAACATTTTCAACTTTTCGTAGTTCTATTTTCTTCGATATATTTTCTGTTTCTGTTCAGATCTCCACTCGACGACGTGCACACACGTGAACAGCATTTTCATCACGGGCTTCACGATTGGAAAAATAATAAGAAGACGACAACGTTTGTAGACGATGATGTTGTGCGCCGAATCGGGTATTTCACGCGTTTTCGTTGGAAATCGTTCGTTCAAACCGATCGTCCATTTGTACCAGTACGCACAAGCATCTCGTCGGCGCTTCTTGACATGAGTCAGTTGAGTTCGTGATCTCCGATTGATACGCGTTTTTCGCCTGAATTCCCTCGAGATTGATTTTCCATATCTTGATCATTTTCATTCTATACGCACTCAATGTTTCACATCAGCCAGACTGATTAAGTTAAGTAGTAAAATATACACATACCGCACGCAACTCAGGAATACAAAAAATGTTGAACAAATTGTTCATATGTTTTGGTCATCACTAAATCACACACAAAGAATTTTTTTTTTCTCTTCTTTTCTATTTTTCGTCGACGGTGTTGCGTTGTGTATTTCGTGTGTGTGACTTGAAAGATTTATAAACTTGTTGGCTATAAATTTAAACTTTTATTTTCCGTGCGAACAAGTGAACCGAATATTAATTGGATTATATGGTGCACGACGTGGTGCTGATTGTGGGTTTGGCTTACATGAAAACGCGCTTTGCGTAAGATCGCACAACGGTGGAATCCTAAACATGAATCAAAATCGCCGATAAAAATAAACACCAAACCCAATTGAAACATACACAAAAATTCTACCAATTTTTCCATCGTGTGTGTGTGATTCGCCATGTGTCAGTGAATTTATTATTACTGTGCATTGTAAATACAAAGTAAAGAAAAAAATAAATCAAAATCGATCCAGATTTTCTTGTGAACCAAAACGAATTGTGTATCAAAAGTTGTCGGAATGAAATGGGTTCGAAAGAGAAAAAATGATTAAAATTCAAAATGGTTTGCATGGTGTTTGCATGTGAAACGACGTGAATTGCCAAATCGATGATATTGAACAGTGCGATCGTGTGTTTTTGACATGCTGTAGAGTCAAGTTGATCTTGAACAGACACGGTTCAACTGCACTCTCTCACATCACCCGATAAACCGTCACGTCGAATACAATAGTTTTTCGTAATTCAATTGTTTCATTCACTCCGTGTCTCTCTCGTATCATTGATCCGTATCATTGACCAAATTGAAATTAAAAATTCGCTTCGATGGCGCCCAACACGGGTAATTATGTAGAAAAAATTCCAAAACAACGTGGCCGCTGCACCAGCTGTTTATGTATGTCATGGAAAGTGTTCACGTGTATATTTTCGCATGTGATGCTTATCACAATGGTAGTCGCGTATTGTCTCATGGGCTCGTATTTATTCGAACGGCTGGAAGCCGATAATGAGCGACATGTACGTACCAGTTGTTTATGAAAGATAAATACGATAAATCATGACCAAAGATAGTTGTTTTCAAATCCAAATGACCGATTTTCTGAACGCTCGAATTATTCTTTTTGATCGACAGATGAAAAGTGAAGTGAAATATATTCGAGGTAATTTATCACAACATCTGTGGACGTTTACGCAAGACGAAATATATCTACATGAAAAGCAGTGGACCGATCATGCTTCAGAGAAATTACTTGAATTCGAAAATAACATACTTGAAACAATGAAAACGGGCGGATGGGACGGTGTTGAAAATCCCGAACGATTGCAGTGGACACGAATGGGCGCATTATTCTATTCCATTATTGTAATTACAACGATAGGTAAGAATTTCGTCATTCTATATAAATAGCATTTGAATTATTTCGCAGCGATTGGTATGATGAAAGAAGAATACATTAATTTTTTTTCTTTTCACTTTTATTGATTTTTCGGTGCATCGATAAATGTTTCATATATTAAATACTCTTATTGATTATATAACCTTCAACATTATCCGCGCATTATTTCGATAACAAATCGTCACTTGACATTCCATGTAGATCACAGTTTTTTTTCAAAATATATATTCTATGTACAAATGTTTCGGCGCATTAAATTAAATTCGACTCTTTTCTATATCTAATTTTGTTCGCTTAAAGTTTTTGCGTCGAGTGAATTACTCGTTGGTTTTTTTGTCAAGTGATCTCTCTTTTGAATCATTGCCTTCATCGGCGAGAATTCCCGATCCAGCTTTGCTGTTGAATGGAATGATTCCATTGGGTGAAAAACCACCTCCGCCAATGCCATTGTATGGTGGGCCATAGTTGTTGTTAAATCCATTATTAAATGGTGCTCCACTAAATCCACCTTGATTGATGCCTGGCCCGAAGCCGCCAGCACCGTTAAATCCTAATTGATTTGGGCCATAATAATTTGGAGGGCGGCCATATAAACCGGTTGGTCCTCCGGGACCAACTAATACTCCATTTGCTGCACTATTTCCCAATGGATTGTATCCAGCGCCCGGGTATCGATTTGGTCCATCTAAAAGATCAAGCAAATCATCTTTGATATCGCCAAATGCATTAGTTTCAATTTTAGTGAATGGAACAATGTGTGATTATTTTTTTTCTTTGAATAAATTCAACTGAGTGTCGACTGAGGTCAGCATTAACATTGAATTCAAACCGTATGCTTCTACGTTGATGTTTGAAAATTTAAATCGAAATTGAGATGAAACTAAATTAATCGATAAACTTACAACCACCACCGCCTGGGAAATATCCATTATTAATGGGTCCGTTAATGCCATTGCCATAGCCTGGTTGAAAGCCACCATTTGGATAGAAATTATTGTTGAAACCTGGTTTAAAGTTATTTGGTTGATAGCCTGAAAGAGGATCTAATATTTATTATAGTGTTTTTCAAACGCATCATAAATTAGCCATACCAAAACCTGGATTATATGGCCCATTAAACTGATTTCCATATAGTGGATAATTATTAAAGTTATTTGGGCCTATTCCGCCCAAACCTTGTGGAATTCCGCCCAAACCTTGTGGAATTCCGCCCAAGCCAAAGCCATTACTATTATAACCATTTCCACTAGATAGGCGAAATGAAACGAAAACAAGAAGCATATTTTAGTTCAAATTGAGTGAACAAAATGGGATTCGCCTCGCCAGTCTTAAAATAAAAAAAAAGTATTATTACGTTACGCCGCTGTTTGGGCCATTGAAACCATATCCACCGCCGTTGTTGCCAACACCGAAGCCTCCGTTGCCACTGCCGATGCCGTTGCCATAAAACTCATCGCTTTGTGTGTTCGGTTTTCGTGTTGTATGCTCGTTCACTTCATATCGATCGCTGAAAATGCGCACATTTTACATCAATTACATAACCATTTTGTTTCCCGTTCCACTTTGTTGCGGTTCATTTGGGTAATTAAAGCACCGAAAAAAAAAACCGTCTTAACTATTTGAATCTGTTTCTTACCGAAAATCTTCTAAGCTCTCATATTTTCTGCGATCGATCAGGCGATCACGCACGCCATCAATATTACTATTTCGATTATTCGACGACCACGACCACTTGGAATCTTTTTGTGAATCAACAACCATTAAGAATGGTAGCAAACAACAAACTACTGTGACACCTAACGAAGCCGAACGAAGAAAACGAAAATTTAAATTGGATTTTTTTTTTTTAAATAGAAAAATGTAAACTGCTCGCACCTCTCATCGTTATATTTCACACAACTATTGTTTGACAACTTAACAGAGAAGTATATTTTTCGATAAATTTGTTCACTTATTCGATTGTATCGCGTGCAATTTTTTGTCGTTGTTGATAAAAAAATACAAAATCACTCGATTGGGTCTTTTTAGTTGTTGCGTGCGTCGCGTTCTAAACAAAACTGATCTGTCTTAAGGAAACGCATTTCTTCTTATAAACACGACAAAAAATGGTATGGGCCCACCAAGCGTACACACAACAATGCGGTGGTCGTCGGTTGCATTCATTTGATTCACGTTTTGATGACTATTTTCCGTATGTGTGTGCTACGTTGTATGGCGGTGACTTAAAGTTAATAAACCTTGGAATGAAATCGTTATTTATATACTTCTTTTTCTTTATTTTCATTTTATACTTCTTTTTTAGTGAATGAGTCGTTCGTTTGTTTTGACTTATACATGCTGCTGCGTGCGTGTTTTATTCTCTCGCATTTTGTATCAATTGAGTTGACTCACACTCCAGTTCACATGCTGCAGCAGCATGCTGTAAACACAAGCACAGACACCGAAAGGTGGAGATAGCCAATGTAACGGAAACTTATTGCAAAGAATCAAAAAATGGGCACAGCAAAGTCAAACGAAATTTTGTAAATGCGGCAAAGTTTTTCAAACACAAAACAAAAAAAAACTTGGTCAAACAATTGAGAAAAAAAAATGTTTGCTATTACACATTTTCAAAGGCATTCACACATGACAATTTAATGGTTTAATTTTCTAAATGAACGCTATCGCCTCTCCAGTGCAGTGTATTACAGTAGAGGAGAGAAAAACAAATTACGCCACTTGCGCAACTGCATTTTCCACAACGTCAATTATTTATCAACAGAATGGATGACATGATGCAGTCACACTTGTGGCAGTTATTGAAAAAGTGAATCGCAAAAAAAGAAAATTTCGAGTATGTGTGTTGATTTTTGGAACGTTTTTCTTCATGTTGATGCACAAATTCAGTTTAACGAGGCCTTATGTAATTGGCAAGGGGTGATGCAGTTTTGCTTAACGAACAACAATAAAAAAAAAAGCCAGCAAGTATCAAAAAGTCATTAGAGCCAGTGAGCTCACTGTGAGAGTTGCAATGAGAACACTTGGCGTCAACGTACAAAAGCAATGGTCGCTGCTAATAAGCGTGCACAATTGAATGACAGACCCATAAAATGGCATATAATTTTACTGCAAAGCGGAGAGGAAGAGAAGAGAAAGAAAAACAACGCAAAATTTTAATTGAATATGGTTTAGCTAGATATTGAAAAGCATATCCGGTGCTCATGTTATACGAAGCTGATTTGTTGAAAATTGGACGAGGAAAAGTCTACGCAAATAGCTTCGAATAATATTAATTTAACGGTAAATTTATTGGCTCTCGAAAATAAAAGTCGAAACATGAAAACGACCGCTTGTGCCCGCATAACCAGATTTCGTTCAATTTTCAGCTAGATCACCATTCGAAAACACTCATTTTTTCGTTTCGGATCGACGTGTTGCTTCGTTCGTGACGAGAAAACTTGTCGTCAAGATGGAATAGAAAATCGTTTTTCACTCTATTGACTCAATTGATTCGAATACAAATTGTCGTCAGCAACAGTAGTTCTACCCGTTCACTCTCTAATGACGATCATCCCACGCAAAACAATGCCATCACTCATTTTGTTTGCGACTCTATTCGCGCTGTGTACGCGTAGTACGATCAAAACGCTTTTAATTTCATTTCAAGTAATGAAATTTATTCGCTTGGCCGCGGTCAATCACACACTGACCCCATACGATTATTATGGCTTTTTTCTCGTTCTCATCTCTTTCAACTCAATTTGTATATAAACACCAATTTTGCATTGAAATTCGTACGATTTACATGGGATTGAGGAACACACAAAACGATAAATAGAATGCAAATTTTTTTTTGCTGAAAAAGAATTACGTTCAGTGTCATGATGAGAAAATAATAATCATTATCGATTCATTTTCATCCAAGATGTGAGCATACACCAAATTTTAAGGCATCCACCATGACTGTTCAAACTATAAAAATGTAGCAATAGCCTTCACCTAGATTTTAGCCCACACTGATGATTCTGCTGGAAGCATTTTTGGTCATTTGCCATTCGCTATTCGTCGCTCGACACATTTCTTTTCTACACAATGACACTTCTATGTGATATGACAACATCTTATTCCCGCAGCATGTCCTCGTGTATATTTTTCTCAAAATGTGAGAATCGAACTAAAAAATACAAAGCAAGCATTTTAAATTAGAATGTAAATATTGAGACACATTTTCGGAACCAAGCACATTTCTGAAATGTTGTTTCACGTTTTTGTTTCGTTTGCTCTCAAACATTTGGATTTCAACATCGAAAACAACCTTTTACTTTTGAACTCATGCAAGCGAAAAATTTTAATGGTTTCTGTTACTGCCGCCTTCATTCAACAAATTGATTCATTCTATTCTGCCCAGACGAAAATCATGAAGTAAATGAGTTCAGATGAATGAATTTGGTGATTTTCAACACGGGATGCAACTTCCGTGTGAATTTTTTTCTAGTCACAATGCTGTATGACTATTTTCGTCGTAAAACTTTAACGTGTGTTTTTTGCCACTCGTTTCGATCAAGGATTATGCAATCGCTGACCGAATGACACACACATGGAACAATCAAAGATCTTTGAGCCGATTCAAGACTGAATCTATACAATGCGATGCATGTGCTACGCTAAAGTTTGCATCTGATACAATTTAGTTGAACTTGAAGAATTGGCATCATCTCCCACGAACGACATTGTTTTTCAATTCTCTTGTTTTTGTTTCGCTTATTCCGATGCTCCTCTACATATACGTTGTACAAAACCTTATTTTGCGAATTTTGGTTGTTGCAAAAACCTTAGCTTGGCGGAAGAGATTCACGACAGTTTAATTATTTTTCCTTGATCTTATGTGACTGTTTATTTTATTGAAAAAAAAAATGATGGAAAAACCCATTCTCAATCAATGAATCTAAATCGAGTCTCTTCATATTCCCAGGGTACGGCCATATCTCGCCCAAGACTGATGGTAACTATTGCATTGTCATTTTTGCTTTTCGGTGTATTCAATTGATGCTTTGCTCTTTTTAACACAGCTGGCAAAATTTCAACCATTTTCTACGCAATCGTGGGCATTCCGTTGATGTTGCTGTGTTTATCCAACATTGGTGACATAATGGCGAGTTCGTTTAGGTAAGATTTCCGTTGATTCAAGCCAATCACTTGATTCTATTGAGAAATTCATGTTTTTTTTTCTGTTGATATTGAAATAAAAAACACGAAAAATTGTGATGACATTTTCTGAATTAGGTTCATTTATTGGCGTGTTTGTTGTTTTGTGTGCACTCGCGAACCAAAACGACGGCCGCGTCGATCAGAATTCCAACGATCAATATCGCACAATCAATCTGCACGCTTCTCGAACCGTGCTAGTATGCGTCGATCGGTGCGAATATCGCAACGCACAGCCGATTCTGGTATTGACTCATATTTCGATCCGAGAATGTCAAAAATGTCACACGCATATTCAGATACGGATTTGAGGTAGGTCGTCAAAATCTCTATTTTATTGCAACGCAACCTTAGTGCATTTCAAATTTGGCTAACTTTATGCGAATTTCCTTCTGATTTTAGATATGGCACAGATGATATGGCGATAAAACGGCCGTCATACAATAGAAGTCAACGTTTTAGTCGTCATAGGAATAGAGATCGATTGCGGCAAGAAAGACACACCGTGGAACGAGAACGAGTTGTTGAACGGTCACTAAGAAGGTACATTACCAAAATGAATTATGAAAAAAAAAAAACATATTAAAAATGTCAAATTTACATAACGTTTTAATCCTTTTCCGCATAGATCATACAATACGCAGTCACTGGATCGACGCTCTCATACTCGTGGTCATAGTCAAAGATCAGCTCGAGCGCATTCGATGTCCAGATATGAAAATAATAATCATCATCAACAACCGAGAATGGTACCCGAAGTCAATGTGCGAGACTACACCATGACGCTGCCAGCATCGCGTGGACGTCATCGATCCAGAATCAATGGTGAAACTGTGACGAGTCGTTACTAAAAATTAACTTACTTTCTAACATCCATCCCATTTTCAGAAAAGCGTTCTCAGTCAGTTGATCCTCGTGCGTTGAGGGCAAAAAATGATGTGCCAATTTTATGTAATAAATACGCAATCGACGACTTTATACGAAGGGAAAGTTTAACCGAGCAACGGGAGCATCATGAGCAACGAAATCACCGGGACGATCGAGAACATCGATCACGGTCAATGCAACCATCACAAAGCAACCGTAAAAGTTTGTACTCACCATCGAGAGAAGTGTCGCCCGAACCGATTCCAAAGCGACTGCAACCAAATGAACGTTCGCGTTATTTAGCACCTCCCTTACCACCAGACATGATGCCCAGTGAAGATGAATGCATTGAGCTCGAAGTTCCAATGCGAAAGCCCAAGAAACGGGAAAGAAAAGAGACTTTGCCACCATCGCCACGAATTATGTCACCAATGGGCTTTGCCATTCATCGACAAGCACGACTCATGGAATCATTCGACGAAGAGGCCGGCTATGACGATGACTGCATCGATTATGTATCGGACACTCCTGTGCGACCAGTGCCTATTTGGTTATGCGTATTCCTTGTAATCGGCTATATTATCGCCGGAGCGTTTTACTTTACGCGAACGGAGAACTGGAGCTTCTTGGACTCGGCCTACTTTTGTTTCATAACACTGACTACCATAGGTAATGAATGTTTGATTTTAAATTCAGTGCACAATATGCACTGCAAATAAAAAAAAAATCATTTACATTCCTTCTGTGGATCCCATTGATTGATACATTTTCTTTCTGGTTCTTGCAGGTTTTGGCGATTTCGGTAAACTAAATAAAATTAGCACATTTTATGCATACGATTAACAATTCATTTTCTTTTTAGTTCCAGCTCAAGGGCTGAATCAATCGGCGCTAAGCGAGACACGTTCGTATTCGTCGCAAAACACTAGTTTCATCTTTGATGTGAGCGATCAAGAAATCAAAATTGCCGGTTGCTCTTTATATTTATTGTTTGGTATTTCATTGCTGGCGATGAGTTTCAATTTGGTCCAAGAGGAGGTGATAGCGAACGTTAAAAATGTTGCACGTCAATTGGGCATACTCAAAGAAGAAGACACCGATTACTGACCCAACTAGTCATCTATCTAGAAATAACAAGGCTTTTCAATTTGTCAACCGATCGTGTTTGTGTTCGTTTCTGGCATAGATGTCGAAAGAAGAGACGTGTTTTTTTAAAAACGAACGGATATCGCGAAGATTTATGGCATTTTATGACAATTTATGTTTGAATTAAGTAAACTAATTTATTTTTTGACGAAATGAAAATATATGAATGAATGATGTGAAGTTAATTTGGAAAGAGTTTGACGCTTTTTCATCAGCCCAGTTCAAACAGGAGAAGAAACAAAATGTTAAAGCAGCGAGTGTCAGTCAACACACGTAAAAATATCTATATTTAGCTACAAATATGATGCAGGGAATTTATTACAAAAAATGAAATTTAGCAGCTAACAAACATCACACACGTTTAATTTATTGGATTTTCAAATTATAAACAACATTTCCATTGAGTTGGAGAAGAGAAAAAGGGTGTTTCATTGAACGCGTGCAGAATATAATATTTCAACCGATTTCAACCTAAATTAACTTGTGCTCTGATAGTGACTTATTTATAGAGTTGGGGTCAGCGCGATGCGTAAAGATTTGTTGATTTTCTGTGGTTTCAAAGGCCAATTAATAAATACCATCAAATGTTTTCAACGAAATTGAAATTTATTTCAATCACAATTCTCTTTTTATACCTCGTTTATTATATCAAACTTTTTCGTTGAATAAGATTTTACATCGACTTGATGAGCATCACAATGGAATACGTAGTCTTTAGAATCTGTAATGAATCATCAAATGCAAGGGAAAAAAAATCGTTCAAAGTGAAAAAAAGTTGATCTTCAATTGAAATGATGTGGAATATGATTTTTTTTTTTCCTTCAATTACCACCAGTAATGTCGGCAAGCTCAATTCAAACCGTAACACACCGACGGCAACGATTTTCATTTTACGTGCGCCGGTGGCCATCATCATTTTCAACATGGCGAAGCTGGTTTTTTGATCAAACGCATTGAAGTTGCTGCAGTAAATACTGTGCTGGATGCTATCAAACTGTAGAAAATTGGTTGTAAAAATCAATCAGATATGCCAAATTATGGTCGAATTGAATCAAAATTAAAAGACAGGTGAACTACCGTATAAATAATGTTATTGCCAAAATAACAGTAGATGGCCATTTCAGCCAGAAATGCACTCAACCAAAAACAAGTCATGTTAAACTCTGCCACGGTCAATTCATACTGAAATAGAAGTTCTAGTTACGTTTTGTCTGAAAAATATGTGCAAAATGTATTTTCCGTACGGCGATCAAAAGAATCAGCGAATTTGCGAATACAAAAGCGGCTTGTACGACTTGAAGAAAGATCAAATCGTTGACTAGTGTGTTCATCTCACGAACAAAGCTGTTAGCAAAGCAAAGCAAAGCAAAGCAAAGCAATTGATTGTAGCAACACATTTAGCAAAGCATTCAATTTAATTACCCATCAATTTTCAAGTGAAGCTCAATCGATTTACAAATTTCTCGATAAAACGATTGTTTTTGGTGCGGTATTTTGGTGTAAAATTCATTGTATCCACTGGTGTATCCCAATCGGCTGACGCGTGAGCTTAACAGTGACAGAAAGAAATTCACAGAAACGAATGCATCGAATAAGTACATATTGACAGCAATATTGATTCCGCCCGCATAAACAACGTTGCCCAATTGATACAAGTATGCCAAGCAAAAGCCGACAGTGGTTTGATCAATCTCAAATGGCACATACATCTTGTATGGCAAGTGTCTTTTTCGCTCCAACACCGGCGTTAAATAGGCATACATAAGATTGATTGCGCCGAATATCGAATATGGATTGATAATTTTTCGAATATGAAAATTCAACACTTTTACGAATCTGAAAGGTACAAAATCAATAAGCAATACATAATCTCTAATTTCACATGAAGAAACAAATCTTGTTTTTTTTTTTCACTCACTCATCCTCGGTATGATTCTTTGCTTCGTAATCAGGATCGTCGAGTTTCGCCCATAAGGCTGCCAGTTGTTTTCGTTTCCGGTAAAATGTAAGGGCTTTGAATGCTGCATTCAAATACGCGAAAATCACAAACAATATTTGTAACGTTTCTTTGACCGATGAAGATATCAAAAGAGACAAAGTGAATAGTACAAAGCCCAAATCGGTGAACAGTAACTGATACACGATCACATGAAATTTCATAAATAACTTTACATCTTTCGACGCATTTGCAATTTCGAATGTGCCGAAAAACTTGAACACTGTTTCATGGAAATCTAAAAGATCCAAAGGACGACGTATTTTCTGCACTGGTTGCGACATGGTGAGAGCGAATGGAATTTAGTTTTAGCACTCTTTTGTTGAATATGTACCTTTGAACTTGCTTGAAACGGACTAAGAATCACTTTGATTCTTCGAAATTTTGAACTATAACTATTTATAACAGTCAATTCCAAAAAGGTGTAATCAAAGCATTTATTATCACTTAAGGGCACGTTAGAGCGATTTGCATTTGTCAGTTATTCAATATAATAGTTGCCATGCGTTTGATAGGCTTTTTGTACATTTCGGCTTTCAGTTCTCTACTTTTGTGGTAACAAATCGATTCATAATAAAGGGTTATTAGTACGAAATCCAATTATTCGTTTTAATTTTCATATCCTCAAACGCGAGTCTCTTCAACATTCATTTCACAAGTCAAACTAATTTGATTTAATGATAGGTTTCGTTTGGTGATGTTCGATTTAAAAAAAAAATGGGATCAATGCTTAGTCCAACAAATTAAAACGTAGCTACCTGATTTCCGATGTTAAAATCGAATTATGCAAATTGCTCCGATTCGATGTGGAGTTGCTGTCTAGTATATAATTTTTGAATCGATAGAACATGACAAATTTGTTATGATGGTCGAAAATTGCTAGGAACAAGTGAAATTAGCAACGAAAACAAACTAAAGTGGAGTATTAAGTTGTTGTGCTCATGCTTATCAAGACCATTCAGTGGTGTTTTGCTTTAGTTTTTTTTTTTGAGTTTTTTTCTTTAGTAATTTATCTTCGATTCTTCGTGCTGATTTGTCAAGTGCATTGTGGATATGATTTGTTTTTGCCATTTGGTTAAATAAAAGTTGTTGTGCGGCTTTACATTGATTTCAGAAGCATTACGGTCGAATATGTTGTCTTTAAAATCTGTGAATGGACACATACTTGGGTTAGTGATTATTATTCTATGTCTGTTCTAGAGAGTGTTCATTCACCATTAATAATTGGTTCAAGCTCAATTCATATCGGACGAAACCAACAGCGGAAATCTTTATTTGTCGTGCTCCCGTGACGGTCAACATTTTCAACATTGCCAAATTGGTATTTCGATCAAATGCAATAAAATTGCTGGAGTAAATGCTATGATGAACGCTATCGAACTATGTGATTGGGTAACAATTGAAATAGATATTTTGTCAATTGCTGTTGTAAAGAAGAGATAGATGGAAAATATGTTTTTTTTTAATGCAAAGCAATAAAAGTACCGCATAACTGATGTTGCTGCCAAAATAGCAATAGATGAATGTCTCAGCCAAAAAAGTTATCAACCAAAAGACTGGAACAATAAATTCTGCGATTGTTAAATCGTACTGCAAACAAAAAGTTTTAGTTGATTTTTGTTTGGAAAAAGAAGCTGTGTTTTCAGTTTTACCGCTATCAAAAGAATCAATGAATCGGCGAGAACGAAAACGGTTTGTATTACTTGAATGAAAATCAAATCATTGACCAGTGCATTCATCTCACAAACGATCCTATGAAAAACGAGTAGAAAATCCACACAATAAATTGTGCACTAAATAATATTGGCATGCAATTTACCCATTAATTTTCAAGTGGAATTCTACATATTGACAGATTTCCCGGTAAAATGATTTTCTTGAGTACGATGTGCTGTTGAATGGTTCGTTGCAGCCACTGGCATACCCCAATCGGCTTAACCGAGAGCTCAATAGCAAAAGTAGGAATTCAATTGAAACGAACAAATCGAACAAATACATGTTGATTGCTATGTTGCTTATCCCTGCATAAACGGCAATCAGGCACTCATATAAATATGCGAAATAAAAGCCTACATTCGTCTCAGCAAATCCAAACGGGAAGTATATTGGACTTGGTAAACGTTTCTTCCACTCCATCATCGGTGCCATGCATACGACAATTAAATTTATAACACCGAACCATGAAAAGACGTTGATCACTTTATGAACATTAAATTTCATCACCTCAAATAATCTACGATTGGATGAGCAATCCAACGATCATTAGTTCTGGCTAGATCTTGTTGAGAAAGGAAATTACATATTCATTTTTCAGAACAGAACTTACCTCATTTCGAAATGATCGTTTGCAACAAAATCAGGGTGATCGAGTTTCGACCACAACTCTCTCAATCGTTTCCGCTTTGTGTAAACACTGAACGTCTTGAAGGATGCATTCACATAAGCAGAAACAATGAACATTATTTGTAACGTCTGTTTCAATGATGGCGAGTCCAGAATAGACAACGGGAACAGTATTAAAGCAGGATATGTCACCAATATTTGATAGCCAATGGTGTGAAACTCCATCAAAGATTTCAACATCTTAGATTCACTTTCAATCTCAAATATACCGAAAAACTTGGACACGTTCACATGAAAACCGAACAGATCCAAAGGACTGGCCATTTTCTCTCTAGATAAATAGAAATGTTCTTTGGGCTCTTAAGAACAAAACTGATGGAATGCTTCAGTAAATGGTCATTTTTATACTTTATCACGTTGTTTAGTGATATCGGTGAAACATATACTTAGTTCTTAAATTAGATTTATTTTTTCAATTTAATGATTTCAACGGAAATTCAGTAATTGTACAGGAGCAAGTAAGCATTTATCGTTAATTATCACTGTTTGAATCTTCCAAGCTGACGACATCTCAGTACAAATGATGTTTTGAATTTTAGTGTCGCCACGAGCTAGCGTATTATTTTGTATTGACATTTTTCGGTCGTTCCTGAGTTCGCCGCGTTCGTTTGTCAAAACATGTCATCACCTTGGAATCTTCCTTAGTTTTGAATGAATTTCAAGAAATGTTCCAATTTTTTCGTTCAAATCAATTAAATGTCAATTAAATGAATTTTAAGAAATTTTTCAATGAATTTTCGATAAGTGTCTATTAAGATTTAACTCCAAATTTTTCCTAACCTGTCATTAAGCCGTTGTCGCTTAGAAGAAAATTCCATTCGAGAACAATCCTTTGTTGCTGTGGAAGTCTCCTTTAAATCCAATTAAAACACGCATTTTTTATATGTTTATATTTTCTAATTGTCTTTATTTGCGATTGTTTCTTTTCAACGTGAATGTTGCATATTCTTGTTGTTCCAGCGCTATTTTATATATTTTTTTTGTTTTCCAGCAAAATTCATCTATTCATGGATATACGATTACATAAACCTATAGTTTTAAATAACATTTGTTCAGTTAATTTAATTTTCAATGCAATTATGTTTATTGATAGCGGTTTGCTTGTTGCATTTAAAAAGTGACAAGGAAGGAGTGGATAGATGGGAGCTGGGAGCTGGTTTGTGGGGAAAAAGTAGGATATTTCACGTTCAGAAATGGTCTGTAAACAGTAGAGCATTTCTCATATATATGTATATGTATAAAAGGAAGAAACAGAAGTGCGGAGTTAATAAGTGTAGAATTGGGAGATGTGCCAATTTTTTTTTCTCTTACAAAAAAATAGGTCCTTAGGGCGATGCATTCACAGAGAGAAGTATTGTATAAATCAAGGGAAAGCTTTGCTATATAAACTGTTGAGCAGCACACACAACAATATATTTTGTTAAAACAGAGAACGAAAAACGAAAGACGAACAAAAAAATAAATCGTGTAGAAGGAAACGAAGGGTTCGGAGTATTTGTCGATTAATGATATTAACAAGAAGCGATTCTTCACTTAAACGTAAATAATGTGAAGTTCACTTGGCAAACTTGGTTGGTTTTTTTTTTTCTCTCGGTAAATGGTAATTAATGGGATATATATGCGAGTGGAAACCCGGTTTCATTTGGACAAAAAATTAGAACTTTCAATGTTATTCCGTGCAAAATGAGTGTGAATTTAAGACTGTGTTTTTTTTCCTATATAGAACCATGAGATACAAATTTCTCAACTTTTTCCATTGGTTTCTCAATAATTATGTTTTTTCATTACATTCACAAAAATAACATTGAAAATTAGAACTTTGTCGCATGTGTAAAATTTCGGTTTTTCCTCTCAAACAAACACTCAATATTGGTCATTTTTAGCGACAAATAACTCTGATTCCTAAAAGACACAATCGAAAAATTTATCATGCAGACCGGCGCTAATTTAACAGTTGCAAATGAAAATATATATATTTATGCATGTATATATGACAGTTTTTCTTTCACTTTAGTGTATTGACTGTCCATTAGCCTATTTCACCAAATGTTTTCATGAAAAATTTTCATGAGATTTTCTTCTCAAGTTTTTTTGGTCAAACAAATATATCTAAATGTAGCAATGGGAAAATCTCAATAAAAACGTGAAAATATTCTCATTTTTTCGACATTATTTTGAGCGCCAACTTGAAATTTCGAGATTTTTTCACAAAAATGTGAGATCACATCATGAAAACATTTGGTGAAATAGGCTGCATATAGACCAGTTGTGTTGAAACAAAGAAATATCTGCTGCACACAGTGCACTCAGTGTGATAAGTCTTGATCGGAGGCAAATTTTTCGTTTTTTTTGTTGTTGTTGTTGTGGTTTTCAAATAGATTCTCGAAATTGTCATTAGCTTTATGATTAGGCGTTGAGTTTTCAATTTTTTTTCCTCCTCTTTGTATCTTCAACAACGCCACACAAAATATACTAAGGCAAATTTATCTATAATTTTTTGTGTGTGTTTTTTTTTATTATTTTAGAATTGTAAATATCCTCTAACGGATCGGATTGCGCAACTGACAACTTCAGAGCAGCTTAATACATGTGTTGTTCTCTTCGTCTTCTTCATTATCGATTACACAATCGTGTCTTGTCTTTAGATTGAATTTGTCTAATTTTATTATACATTCATTCATTGTAATAATATTGTATAATAATAATCATAATAATTTAATAGGTATTGATATAAGTAATTCTCAGAAATAATGATTCTATACTTGTTTTTACTTGTTTTTTCTTTTTAGTTTTGTCTCTCACTAACAACACTGGTCAGTTGTTGTTTTTTTTCACTAAACATTAAAAATAGTTCAATAAAATCGCATTTTTCATCCAATTGTCGATAAATAAATCCATTTGTGTTTGTATTGTTTGTTTTTTTTTCACTATTCAGCTACATATTTAGCAATTTCTACGTCAATGAAGAAATACTCTACCAACTACATCTCAATCAAATGTTCAGTACTTCAAAGCGGCTGCTCAATATAAGCCTTGACTATACTGCATTTCAATGGGTTTTTCCTCTATTCGTTAAAAACTAATGTGTTTGTGTGGTTGTTTTTCGGTCCATTCAGAAATATTCCTTAAATAGAGTTTAGATTCCGCTAAATGTATTTCAAATTGTATATTTTCATCTATATAATTTAATTTGTATGCCCTTTCAGATTCGAATATTGTCATGTTTATGAAATGCCATAATGCATTCCCAATGTGTTTTTATTCCTCTTCTATCTTTTTATAAATGAAGATTGAGTTTTTTTTGTCTCTAATTTTTCTTTTTCTTTCGTGCATAGCTATGAAATTAAATCGAAAATGCGTTTTTTTTTGTTCAATTGCACAATGCACACACACTTATAGTGTGAGAGTAAGGTATTGTAATGCACACACAAAATGTTCAAAACTTGAAAAATCACTTTTTTAGAATCTTATTATCTGCTTCATTTTTTTGTTCCACTCGATTTGTTTTTTTTTTTTGGTTTTTAGATTTAGGAGAAATGTTGACGCCGCGTCTTATTGGCGCTTTTCACAAACAGAAATAATTGATTTTTTTTTTTAGCAAAATTGGATTGAAATCATATTTGTCAAGCATGTAAATGTGAACAATTTGTCACATGTGGTTACAAATATTTGTGAAGCGAAAGGTTTTTTCTTCTTTTTTTTCCATTGGAAGCTTATGAATTTTACGATTTCTTTTCCCTCTCCATATATATAGATCAAATGATTTGACGGAAACACGTTTTGTCAGGCATTCATTCGATTTTTTTGGTTGCTTTCAAGATGCAAATCCCGTGGCTTGCACGTTATTGATCCTCAAATGTTTTGTATTTTTTGTTGTTGTGGTTTCTTGCGTAAACAGGAGAAAAATATATTTATACACACTTCACAAATCGTCTAATTCGGTTCAATCATCATCGTTGCAATCAATTTCAACTAGATATAGAGCAGATTGAATAGCTTTGGGAGAGCAAGAGCTCGGTGGCCAGCGCTAGCACGCACGCTTCGTTTTTGTTATTATTCAACATTTGCGTATTATTTTTTCACCTGTGTTTGTTTTTTTTTTACTTTTTTTTGTTTTTTTTTTTTGTTCAGTACATAAAGATAATTCAGCTACAATATGAGCCAGAATGCGCACAAAAACTAATCTCAAGTCATTAAAAAGTCGAAAATCCTGGTAAGTTCCATGAAAATATTTTCACAAGATCACATTTGTTATTTATTTATTCATTTTGTGTTTTTTTTTTCTCTAAATTTTCCAAATGATTCGAGTTCCGCACAATCTGCATCATCGAAGCAATCATTTCAAAACGGTTTCTCTCTTTGTTCATTATCTTTCTTCCTTGTTTCGTTCTCTTTTTCGTTTCCTTCTATCCATTAAATTGTAAGTGTTCCATTAAAAGTTCGGTTTTTTTTTCTTCTGTTTTTCATACATATATGTATATATAAGTATATATGTGTATATATATCCCATTGGTTCTACATATAAAAGCGATGATAGAAGTAGATCGCGAAAGTTGCCTAACACAAAGCTTGTTTTTTTTTCTTTTTAAATATTACTATTATTATTATTAATTCAGATAAAATGTTTGACCATTTGCCATTTATTTACAGCGCGCACTGCACTTAGATGCCGTGAATGGATTCGGATGATGTCGAGTCTGAAGCACATTCACTTGAATTGATCGAATGCTCTTTGACCAAACGTGATGCCGTCGACAACGACGACGACGACGACGACGACGATGATGATGATGATGACGACGTTGCCAGAGAGGACGGTCTGCGTTGTCGTAGCGTGTTCAAATCGAAATTCGGATGGCGTCTTGCGTGCTTACTGCAGATACAAATCAATAGAATACGGTTACGCATTAATAAAATAACATGTGTCAAAGGGGAATAAACAACAACTGAATTGGGAATTTAATCGATGTACCTCAAATGATCACTACGCATGAATTTCTTCGAGCAAATGGGACAGCAAAAGTTCTTCTCACCTAAATAAATAAATTATGTTTCATGACTCGATGATTGGTTTCGGAAATTGAATTATTTCACACAAAATATTCGAATAGCAACGGTTCATGTTAAGAAATAAAACCGATATTTTTTCTATCGTTAATCGTCAAATTACTAAAATTATCTTAATGCGAAGAAAGCAGAAGAAAATTAATTTGAAAAATTCCACCTACTTAAGTCGTAGTAATGTAATTTAATACAAAATCGTTAAAACCAAATCAAATTAATTGGATAAAATGAATCGTGCTTCATAAAATGATTATGTTGGCGCGGCAATGTGTCAATCCCTCTGAGCATTGTAAAAGTGAGGAATGAAGAGAAGCGGCGCAAAGCGTTTAATTTCGAAGAAAAAGAGAACAATTTAGCGTTCTGTGACAGTTGAATCTTTTACAACAGCTGAGTCGTGGGTTAATTATTTTGGCAATTTCTCGCATGTTCATGGCTTCATTCCTCTTAGAAAAACGTTTTCTTTTTCTTTTTTTTTTCTTTTTTTATTTTAAAACGAAATGAACGTTGCTATTCCGAACAACTGTGCACCGTTGTGTGTGTGTGTGTGTGTGTGTGTGTGTTTAAATATCAAGCCATATAACAACTTTTTTGGGTTTGCTTACCTGTGTGTGTTCGTGTGTGCCGTGCCAGTTCGTCTGAACGGGCAAATCGCTTTCCACAAGCTGACTTTTCACCCATGTGAAAATTTTCCCATGTACATGGAAACGGCTTTTCCCCAGTGTGGGTGCGCAGGTGAGCTTTTAAATGTGAACTTTTGCCATAGACTTTGTTGCAACCAACATACGAACATTTGTGCGTCTTACGATTATTGTTCGGCACTGATACTTTACTATTATCACTTGCGGCAGTTCGATTGTCCTCGGAAAAGCTGCTTACGTATTGCGGGTGGGTTGCAATCGGAGATCCGATAAAATTTGTTGGGCTTCCAGTATCACTGTTGTTTGATGTTTGCACCGGTTCGACGACGTTGTTGGTGGTGGTGGCGGTGACAACGACGACATTTAGCCGCTTCTTTCGTTTCTTTTTCTTTACAATTGGCAGAGCATCCAATGACGATGACGACGTTGTCGTCGATCTCTCGTGTATTGTCTTTTCCTTGGATTTGCGACGCATTTCATTGGATGTCTTCGTCGTCGTCGTCGTTGGTTTCTTAGTAGCTAATGAAGTTGGTTTTGTTGTCCTTGGCTTCTTCGGTGATCGAGCCGGTTTCCTCGTCAATTTTTTTGTCGTCGTCACTGCTGCTGCTGATCCCGCCGTCGCACTCATCGTATTATTATTATTATTGAATTTTGTACTATTGTTATTGAAAATCGCGCTAACATCTACTGATATTTTATTATAATTCTTATGATTTTCAACCAAATTGTGCCCATTTGTTGTTGTTGTCGCCTGATTGATGGCATTTGAATTGAGTTTAATACCGGGGTCGGTTTTAATCCATGCCACATTATTATTTGTTATTTCGTCCGAATGGTGGTGATGGTGGCGATGATTCATCAACACTGTTTCCATATGATGATGATGATGGTGATTACGTTGCAAAAAATCATAACTATTCTCATCATCGTCATCAAATTCATCTTCGGTTTTAAGCGACGACGACGATTGTTTGTCGGCGTCTGATTGTTTGCTACTGGCTTGACAACCGCTCAAATCGAGCGGCTTCATTGTGAATGTTGAATTGAAATTGGCACCACCGGCTGACATCGCCAGCAAACAATGTGCAGCAAACTTTATGTCACAATCCATATTCATGTTTCGTCCGTTGCTTTATTCACTCACTTCTGCTGTGGATGAAAAAAGAAAGAAAGTGAAAACGAACACAAATTACTTCAGTTAGTTAGTACAATGTAACGGTAGAATTTAGAAAAGAAGAAAGAAAAAAGCGTTGTGTGTGTGTGTGTTTGCAATCATTAGGATAAATGGGAATCGTACGGCGTACAAAAACACGCGTGACCTTCAATTTTTTAAATAGAAAACTAAAATTATCGACAAAATTTTCAATGGTTAGCGTCCAAATAACACATTAGATAACATCAACACAAGCAATTCATTTGTCGTGTCTTTGTACACTTTTTTTCACTGTCGTCATTGTCGTCGTCGTCGTATGGATACTCTATCAATGAAATAGAATATTTACTAATTCATTTGTTTCTTTTAAATAAAAAAAAAATTCTTGACAAGCGCTCACAATATATGTACATAATGATTCTTTGGCCACTATCGTTAGTACCGCCGCCGCCACAAAAACCACCAGTGAAAATGAATATCTAGGTGAATTTTCATTCACATCCACAATATATTGTGTATATACACACACATTTATTTGTCATCGGAAGTGGTTGTAGGCGAAGAAGCACAGAAAAGAGTGAAGAAGGAAAAAAAATGAATAAATGAAATATAAAACCGATCGATATAATTAAGCTGAAGTATTTTCCCCTTCAGCATTCAAAGCGGATTCGCAGTGTAGTAGTCTAGTGGTGGTGGATTGCTGCTGACAACCACTGCTTTAAGTATTGTATCTGCAATTTGAATAAAGTCATAAGAATACCGAGACACAATACACAACAACAATAGCTATATGTATACATATATAGTCCCGGAACCCCAAAAAAATTGTGTAGAAAATGCGAAAAATGCAAAAAATTCTCATCTCCTGCACAAACACACAGAACGAGGACGAGAAAGAGACACAAAACATACGTATAGAGTGGGAGAGAGCGAGCAAACGAGCGACCGACAGAGCGTTTGAATGAAAGCTTCGCAAACAAGCACACACTGATTGAAGCCTAATTAGTGAAAGGGCAAGTTCTGTTTGTTCGCCCGTTCACGGATGAAACACATCAAACGAATCGTGAAAAAAAACAAACTCAGCACAAGCACAAACACAAATCAAAGGCGTGTACATTAATTACAAAAGTAAATCATTTAACCAGATTTCGATATTTGATTAGCTGCAATTTAAATGAGCTCCGCGCACAATATAATTAGATGAACGTTTTCAACGTCTGCTTCGACGTTGATTTTAAATTGATAAAGTTTTTCTCTTGCTGTTTTGCCATACAAACAACCTTTTTTTCGTAAGCAGTGCTGCTGCTGCTGCTGCTGCTGCTCTCGCTTGGCTCTCGAATCGATGCGACGCGTGATTAAATGAGGAAAATGTACACCGTTTTTTGCCTTGTTTTCGGGGGACTCTCCGTCTCTCTAACTTTGAGTGTATGCTTCCTTTTTGGTATTTTCACAGACACTTTCATTTAATCGCACAGACAACACGCAAATGACTTATGGAATACGATGGAATATATAATTGAATCCAATTTTCGACGCACAAAACCAAAACGAATAACGTATAACAGAAATCCCAAATAAAACAAACTGAAAATGCTATCGTCAACAAAAACACCATCTTTCAGCAAACACCATTTTCACTGTTGTCGCATGTTCGGGAATGAGCATTTCACTCGCACCCGAACCGATTTTCCTACTTATGCGTCACGGAAAAATCTGTTGCCAAATGAGTGAAAATTGTCTTGTTTTCTGTGCTAGTGTTGCTATTGCTACTGCTACTGCTGCTGCTGCTGCTGATAGCTTGAGCGTTGCTTTGCTCCGCGTTTCGTTTCGCTTTGCACTCACTATCGCACAGGGAGAGTGTGAGTGAGTGAGTGAGTGAGCAGGAGATAAAGTACAGTACACAGTATTCGGTATGGAATGGTTGAGAAGCGCGTTCGCAGCAAAATTTCCACCGAAAGTGGTGAATAGCCTACGTTTAAGTGTTTCCTCCTTTCGTGTGCTTGCTTGCTTGACTTATTGCAATGAGCAGCTATGTGTGAACAGTGGTTACCAAACACAAATTTCACTCTACCGTCACGAACACACCGACGCAAGCAAGTAAAGCACTCTCCCGTCACCGTTGCCGTCGTCGTCATGGTCGTCGTCGTCGCTGTCGCTGTCGCCGTCGAAACGGCGATTTATCAAGCCAAGAAAAGCTAGCAGCGTTTGTAGGTGTAGGAAAATCGAATCATACACCGATTAGCCATTAATGTTGGTAAAAAAAAGAAAACAAAAGCGACTACACACCACCACATCTGCATGCGATGATTACACGAAAGACCATTTATCACGCTAAACCAGCAGCAGCAGCAGCAGAAACAGCGCACAATATAACGTAATAGCGAAAGGAAAATTTCCGTTCAAAATGCTATGGCTTCGAAATTGGAAGTTTCATTTGCTGCTCTATTCAACATCGTCGTATTGAACGATAGTTTTAATTGAACTGAGTCGTTGTCTTGTTTCGCTTCGTCGCATCAGGCGAACGAGCGAGCAAATGAGCGAGCAAACGAACGAACAACCGACGAAAACAACAACAGCAGCAACGAAAAGAAACGTTTATTTTGTTTCATTTTGTTTTGATTTGAAACGAAGAAATAGTAACGCCACCGTGACCCTTTTCACGACGATGGCTACGATTACCACAACGAAATGGGGCAAACACGAGCATAGTTAATAATTATTCAAATTGTAGGCTCGGGAAAAAATATGCTGGGAGCAGAACCTGGTGATAGTTCATTTGATTTGAACAAAAAAATGAAGCAAGCCCGATTTGCGTCGATACGATTGAAATTTTAGTCGTGAATAATGGCTCAAAGTTTATCCCACAATTCAATGGATTGACAGATATTCTATGCCGAATTTTCAGAGTTTCTTTCGCATTTTCATCGAACATTGTATACATATTACCCATAGCGTCCATGGCAATCGCACAAATAATGCGATCAATAAACTTGAGAGAGTTCAAATTACACACATTAGCAGCAAAAGCAGCAGCAGCAGCAACAGCAAGAAACAATATAATCCACAAACTATGAGCAACTACGAGCGCATGGAGACTATATTCAGCCTTCAATGACAACGAACAACACTTGCTATACGAACTGTGTAGTTGATTTGTATTTTTTTTTTTCGTCTGTTCGATCGCTCTCTGCTTCATTTTCATCATCGCCAACAAAGCAATTTTTATTCAGCCATTGCCCGTACCCTTCGATATTGAAAAATTCAATGTCAATCCTGTGCTACTGCCACAGCAATACACACGGTACACACACGCAACGAATAAATCCATACACCACCACCAAATACACTACGTGCACAATGTATTAGTTTCATTTTTAATTTGTATGTAAATAGGATATATTCTCCCAAATTATTACTCTAATGAATTTGCTCGTTATTACAATCGACAGAAAAAAAAGAAGGAGTAGAAGACAAAAAAAAATCACAACACATTGATTGAGTTGTGTTGTTTTTTACGCACCAGTTTCAAGTTGAAAGTAAGATTTACATGACCTTATAATACATGCTTCGTTACTTCGATTATAAGCTTCAACTTCACTTTGTGCACTCTACGCTTTCTTCTGATGCAAGAGGGAGAGCGAACAAGAGAGCGAGACAGAGACACAAATTATTTCTTTCTATCGACTTATTTCCCAAATCTCAAATGCCTACTACTGTGTCTTGGCTATCGTACAACGAATTGAGAGGAAAAAACAATTATTTCACAACACTACGAATCCAAATCAAATGTAGAAATAAACCAAATTTTTCTTTATCAATATACACATAGACACACGCAAAACTCTAAATGCAAAAAAAGCGAATTAATTTTTATATTTTCTGGGCTACACACACAATATGATCAAGAATCTGAGTATGTAAAAATTGGTACTGATGTGTATCATTATTTTGTAGATACTGGCTGACGAAGGAAAACAGAACAGACTATTTACTTGGCTTGTTTTGGTTTCTCGCGCAATTTTTCGCACTCACCAAGTCATACGTACGACGACGGAGAGATAAAAATGTAAACACACAAAAGCGTGTGCGTATAACTTGCACATTCACAAGCATAAACGACGACAACGGCAACGACGAGCAATGCCATGAACGAGCACACGAAATGAGAAAGAGGGAAAAAAACAGCAGCGCATGAAGAGAGAGAGAGAGAGAGAGAGAGAGAGAGAGAGAGAGAGAATATACGGACACACATTTAGCGTCGACATTGGAGATGAGAGCGTAAGAGAATACAAGAGCGAACGAAATATAAAGTGATTGTTTATGTGTGGAACGGACGACGACGACGACAGCAACAGCGATGGTACAGACAAATCGTGGATTGAATTGGGGCCATCAATTCAAATGAAATGCTGTACACATGCAAAGTATTACACTCCGCTCTTGATTCGATTGAGTCGAATGATAAACGCACGCAAATCAATTTCGCACACAAAACGACGACAACAGTCTTCCTCAATGAGCACTTTGCACTCACACTCAAACACGCGCGCGCTCCAACATACACATACACACGTACGCATGCACACATTTGCACATTATCGATGAAAATCATTTCAGCGCGTGTACAATAACATTTACACATCCAAACATACACGTACACACACTTCTCCAACTGGCGAACACGAATTCACCACAAATAACAACAACTCTTTGTGTATATTCTGATATGAACGAATGCGATTTTTTTCTATATCCGTGTCGTTGCTAACCTTATTCTTTTTGTATTGAATCATTTTCTCTCACAAATATTCGAATGGAGACGAATTGGTTGACCAATTTTCATTTGAATTCACAACAAATTTTCATTGTTAATTTCTTTCGTTGAATTCAATTACACTACTTTGCATTACTCTACCAATTTCACCACAGTCAAATGTCAATGTGCGCGCCCATTAGACGCAACCAAATTCAATGTGGATTGTCAGTTGGTTCTGTGTGTAGTGTGGTGTGGTGGCGCTGTATGCTGTGTGTGAGTGTGAATGCTTCAAGTATTTCATACACACGAGCTAGTCAGTCAACCAGTCACATACTACACTGTATATACACTTTCTTTTGTCAATGTTTTGAAAATACCCACATCTCACGAAGTCAATGTGAACACAGAAGAATATTCGCAGCGTGAAAAGTCGCAGATGTGCACAGCAGCACACATTTTATAAAACCATAAACAAATCATTTGTACACATTTTACAATTGTAGCAAATAAAAATTGTTTCTTCTCTGCTTTCGTAAATCCTGCAAATAAATCCGCGATAGTTTTTAATACGACAATTGGTTTTCAACGTGAGATTGACGACGACGACGACGACGACGAAGATTACTGAGTAGAATAAAACAGAGAACATTCTTCGTTTCTTTTTTTTGTCCTGTGCTTGATTTGATATCACATCATTGTGGCAACGGCGACGGAACAAGTGTGTGCACGAATTAATTTTTCAAAGTGAGAAACACAAAGAAATTCTTGCGACGAGCATCGATAGTGGTTTTTTTTTTGGATTTTGTCAAAGGTATTTGGATATTAGTACAATCAACCGTACAAAATGGCACCAAAGGAACGAAATATTGCAATGATGGGCTATCGATCAGTGGGTATGGCAAATTAAAGCTAAAGCTAAAGCATGTTTTTATACTTTTGATAATCTAGAAATTTAGAAATCAAGGGAGAAAAATAACGAATTCCAAAAACTGTTTTTTTTTTTAATTCTATGACATTTAGCTTAGTTTTCACGTGATAATACCTCATGCATTCAATCATTCCGTCATTTCGTCATTCCGATTCATTCATCGTTGTTTTTATTTTTTTTGTTTTCATTTTTATCCCATCATTCTCTTCGCAAGTGAAAATATCAAAAGTTATTGACACTTTGATCCGAGAGAGTGAGATCAAGAGAGCAGAAGAGATATAGTCATACAGTGAATTTTACAATTTGGTGAAATACAACACATGATGGTGAAATAGAAGAAATAGAGTGGAGTGAGTTGTCATGTTCATTCTCTGTCGTACTTTGTTCAGTTGTAAACGACGACGGCACCGATGAACAAACTATTATTACGCACAATTTCAGTGCAAATGACGGCAATCCGCGTGAACAAATGTCTCTCTCTCACTTTGTGTATATGTATATATATATATATATATATATATATATGTGTGTGTGTGTGTGTGTGTGAATGTATGTACGGCGGGGCATTACAATCGATTTCTCGGAATTCATTGATCACACTTGGCACCATGATCCATATCTGTGTACTCGATTAACGAATTTCCGATCAGCTGGCTAGTGCGATTTGCTCACGCTCTCGTCTATCATTTTTTTCGCTGTATATTTATATGCGAATGTATGAATGCGATTCCACGAACATAAGTATGTACGAGTGTGCTGCTATGCTGATTGAGAAGTGGAGCGTGTGTGAGCAATAGAAGAAGAAAAAATCTGATGCAATGTTATATATTTGCCCGTTTAAAGTATTGCTAAGCGCACATAAATGCCTCTTCTTTATATTAGCAATTTTTCTAATCGCGTTCAAAAGATCTCGCAAAAGTTCAAGGTAAAGAGAGGTAGTCGCGTGTCTGCGATTCAACCAAATAGATTTTAAATTCTCTATCTTGCTCCCTCATTTACATACTATATCTGTAGACGAGCGGTGCCGCTATTAAAACCGTTGAATATGCAAATCAAACAACTTCAAAATTCCAGAACTAGCCAATTTGTTTTTGTTGTTGTTGCGTATTGAATTATTGCGTCGAAGAAAGGAAAAGCGTCGTTTTCATTCTTATTCTGGTTTTTTTTTTATTGGTAAAGCTGATTCGAGACATGTGTATACAGCACACATGGACTATAGTGTCTGCTTACGCCTTGCATTGACGTACTTATGTACGTATTTTTTCTTTCAAATGTACAAAGCGAAAGAAAATGTTTTTCATTAGTACAAGTGTGAAGGTGACAGAAATTAAATTGCCTATCTGTTTGGTCGTTTATTTACCTACCGAGAGAGAGAGAGAGAGAGAGAGAGAGAGAGAGAGAGAGAGAGACTGAGATCCATTTGGCGTCGAATCTAATGTTGTTAAGCTATGGCTATTAAAATACGCACCCGACTTCCCGAATAATTTATTCCTGATGTCATAACAACACATTCACTCACTATATAGCGGTACTTATTGAATTTATGACGACGACAGTATAAAATCGACTCAATAATTATCCGATCGATAAAATGAAAGCGAATATTAAATCTATGAATGCATTACTGGTATTGTGTAGAGTGTAGACTCAAGCATTTACGCAAATCAAATGCAAACAATGTTATCTCTCGGCCGTCCTACCGAAATGATAAATAATAAACTTGAGCCGTATTTACCTTATCTCCATCCACACACATATACACACACTTTGCATGAACTCTGAAAATCGATTTCATTTGATTTACTGCACGATCTGTCTCTCTCTCTGTCTCTGTGTGTACAGTGTACACCTTTCAATTAATTCTAGGAGAACTAGGTCATGTATTGTTCTATAACCGACTAATATTTTTTTTTTTCAATTTTTTTTTTCATTTTATCGCGCAGGTAAATCATCGCTCAGTATTCAATTTGTGCAGGGACAATTTGTCGACTCATATGATCCAACCATCGAAAACAGTAAGTGTGATGAACGTGAATATAGATAGATATATCATTCGCCATTCTTGCTATTTATTTACTGGCATTGTTATTGAAAATCATTTTCTCTGTGTCATTTTCTTTTATGTGTAGCCTTTACAAAAGTAACACGTATCAATTCAACGGACTATGAAATCAAATTAGTTGACACAGCCGGACAGGATGAAGTAAATCGAAATGCTATTCAATTGGATTCATGTCTATCTAATTGATAATTATCTTATTTCTAACACTCGATTCTTTTCTTGTCTTTTCGTTACAGTATAGTATATTTCCAACGCAATATAGCATGGATTTCCATGGATATGTATTAGTATATTCGATAACGAGCCAAAAATCATTCGAAGTCATACAAATCATTTATGAAAAACTTCTAGATGCTATGGGCAAAACACAGTAAGTGTACATTACACCTTTGTGTGATAGTGTTTTTATGACACCTTTTGATTGATACTATATGATGACGATTGATTTGAATACAGTGTGCCTGTGGTGCTAGTTGGAAATAAGACAGATTTACATCAAGAGCGTGCTGTTTCATATGAAGAGGGTAAAAAATTGGCCGAATCGTGGCGTGCAACATTTTTGGAAACATCTGCCAAGCAGAATGAAGTAAGACGGAATGCTATCCAATTGGATTCATGTCAATGTCTAGCAACTAATAATTAACTCATTTCTAACACTCGAATTTTTTCTATTCTTTTTCCGACACAGTCTGTTGCCGATATATTTCATTCGATAGTGTTGCAGGTCGAACGAGAGAATGGAAATACCCAGGAAAAAAGTAGCTGCTGCATTTCTTGAACTGCATCTCTCTTTATCGTTGTTCCGTCAAACGAATCGTTGTCGACACCCACACTAGAATTAAACAAAAAATAGTTCATTTGGGAATAAGCTGTTCATACATACATAAATTCTGGTCGATGTAACACAAACACACAACATTCGTCAGAAGAATCATTCGAGCAAATTGCAAGCATCAACAAAACTAGCAAATCACACACACACTAAACAATGCAAAAGGAAGAACTGAGACCACCATCATCCCTTTTTCTTACTGGAGACACACATTCATATAACAAACAAATAGATGAAGAAACAATAAGTCAGTTGTGCGTGCCCACGTTTTTTCTTGTTCGATTTGCTTAAAACAACAGTTTTTTCGGTGGTTCAAATGCAAACACAATAAATCTTTCTAGAACAAAACAAACAGATAAAATTCATTCAGCGCAATTTGCAATCCAAAAACAAACGGTTCAACATTTTACATATGCAATCTATTTTTTATCGTTTTATAAAGAATTTTATTTTTATGAAGTTTTGTTTATATTTTCTTTTTTTTTTTTGAAAAAGTATCAAATATAAAACGAAGAAAAAAAAACGAGTAGAAAATTAAACGGATTAAAAGAAATTGAACTAGAAAATAAACAAAGAGAAAAAAAATTGATAATGATGAAATAAGATTTAGAATGACTTCTAAGTTAAGTTGAATTTCAATAATAATTTTCTCTTTCTCTATCTTTCTCTTAAGTTGTGTAATGTAATAACGATTGATTGAAAAATAAACGAAAAAAAATGGGAAAATTAATACCATTTTCGGTGGGTAAAATTCATTTTGTAATTAGAAATTTTGTGGTTTTTGAGTCAAGACAGATCTGTCTTCGTTATTCGTATTCTTAGGTGAACATTATTTTGATGAAAATTATTATTATTAGATAAAATTATCTAATCTAACATAAATATTTATTTTTGATTGAATAAAATGCTGCCTACGCCTACCGAAAATATTTCATACCTAATACACTGTGATTCTCTTCTTTGCTTTCTTTTTCCCTTTCCTTCTCGATTCCATTTCTAGCTCATTATTCGCATTTGGCGTCATTGGTCAGATATTGCGTTGACAACAAAGTTCAATAGTATGAGTGGAAATTGGGCTGATAAAGAAATTGCGTCGCGATTTTTTTCATTCTACTACTATCAGTAGCTCAATCAAACCGAATCTCGCAACAGGTGCAAAATTTGTCCATAAAGTGTTTGATATTTCAAATACAACGACTTCCAAAATGGGCTAGAGAATGCGTGTAGATAGTTTCAATCGATATTTCACACGGCATGAAATCTATTCAAATATTTCAATGAATAGCAAAACATGTTCAATTGCATGTTTCGAATTAGCCGCGAATAGCCACCAAAATCGAAATCATTTTGTGTTTTCACATTTTTTTCAATTTTCGTTATCTTATCATCCGTTGTGTCATAACAAAGAAGGAAGTTTCACACATACGCACGCATACATATATTATCTCGGTCTTCAGAAGTTTTTGAGAGTCAGCTGTTTTTGCGTGTGTGCGACGGTAGTGAATTTGCTTAGTATCGCGTTCCAGTACGTTGAAATTCACCACACGACAGGCAGTATGACAGAAAGTTTAAGAAAATAGACACTGACACTTGTGTTTTGGTATTCAAATCAAACAATATCGTCTATATCGTCGAGTGATTGACTTTTTCTACGCTGATCAAACGTAAGTGCTTCGGTATTATAATCAAAAACATAAATTGCTGCTTTTCCCAAGCTCTTCAACTTTAATTCAGAATAATTCTGAATCAATAGAATTTCATTCATTTTCCGCCGGTATTCCGTGACGAAGATCAATTTATGGATTTGTGTTCTAACCTTGTTTGTCATTGGATTTGTCATTTTTCCATTTGAATTACACACTATCTGATACAATTAACTATAATTGAATAACTTCCGATCAAGTTGAAATTGTGTGTTTCTTTTCGTCGTTGCTTACTAATAGAGATAAAATGAAAAAAGCGATTGTCATGTGACTGACTTTTTAAATTGTGTTTTTCCTCTCTTCGTTCATCAATCAGACAATGGCCGATTTTGTGAATAAAGTGGTCATAGTAACGGGCGCAAGCAGTGGAATTGGAGCTGGAACGGCTGAATTTCTAGCCAAGCAAGGAGCATGGCTAGTGTTGGTTGGTCGAAATGAGGAGAATTTAAAGAGTGTTGCCGCTAAATGTCCACCAACTCACGGGGCACCGCAACCATTGCAAATCGTTGCCGATGTCACGATTGAAGCGGACGCAAAACGTATCATCGACACAACCATTGAGAAATTTCAGAAATTAAATGTGCTGGTCAACAATGCGGGCATTTTGAAACGTGGTACGATTGAAACGAGCACCTTAGAGGACTATGACACCGTCATGAATGTAAATGTTCGATCGATTTTCCATCTAACTCAATTGGCCGTTCCGCATTTGATTGCCACCAAAGGCAATGTTGTGAATGTGTCGAGCGTCAATGGCATGCGATCATTTCCCGGCGTCTTGGCCTACAATATGTCGAAAGCTGCCTTGGATCAACTCACACAATGTTAGTTACTGTTATTATTTCGTTTAAATCGATTGATTTGATTCTATCAGTATAACAAACTGCCTTCTTTCTATATGCCAAAGGTGTTGCACTTGAACTGGCTGACCGTGGTATTCGTGTCAACAGCGTCAATCCTGGCGTGATTGTGACAAACATCCACAAACGAGATGGCATGGACGAAGCAGCCTATGCCGCATTCCTTGAGCATTCGAAATCAACACATGCACTTGGTCGAGCCGGTAATACAATCGAAGTTGCCGAATCGATTGCATTTTTAGCCAGTGAACGAGCATCGTTTATTACAGGCGCAATTCTACCTGTTGATGGTGGTCGTCATTCGATGTGCCCACGCTAAACAATCATCATTACAACGTTCAATTTAAAGTCATTTTAAACCATTTTTATGCAAACAGAATCATCGTTATAAACTCATTGACATGTGAATTTTGATTGTGGAATATTTTCAATAAAAAAACTTTTTCAAACACACATATATACTGAAATTTGATCTTCGATCAGCTTGGGGAAATGCGTGAAATTCATTTTTATTTCCAATCTTATTTCAACTACATCATATGATTGAGTTATCAATTTCCATTTGCAGATAAAAATGTCGTTCGCCGGAAAATCGGTTATTGTGACTGGGGCTAGTAGCGGTATTGGTCGAGCAACCGCAGAACATCTGGCGAAACAGGATGCAAACTTGGTTTTGGTTGGACGCAACGAAGAACAATTGCAGAACACTGTCGACTTGTGTTTGAAGGCGACACAAAATGTACTTAAAATTGTTGCCGATGTTTGCATTGAAGCGGATGCTGAACGAATCATTCAGGAGACGATTGCTAAGTTCGCAAAATTGGATGTGCTAATCAATTCAGCGGGTATCATTGGCTCAGGCACAATCGAAACGACTACACTTGACCAGTACGACCGCATAATGAATGTCAATGTTCGCGCCATATTCCGACTGACACAACTCGCCGTTCCGCATTTAATTGCTTCGAAGGGCAACATTGTAAGGCAACACTTTTAATCTAAGCTATAAATTTATCTCAATTGCTCGAATTTCGTCAGGTGAACTTGTCCAGCGTTTGCGGTATCCGATCATTTCCGAATGTATTGGCCTACAATATGTCAAAAACAGCGGTAGATCAATTCACGAATTGTGTCGCTTTAGAACTGGCCGATAAAGGTGTACGCGTTAATTCTGTCTGTCCGGGCGTTATTGAAACGGAACTGCACAAACGAGGCGGTATGGATCAAGAGGCTTATGCACGATTCTTGGAGCACTGTAAAAAGACACACGCTCTTGGCCGTGCTGGCAATGTTGAAGAAGTCGCAGCAGCCATTGCATTCCTCGCAAGTGATGCGAGCAGCTTCATCACCGGCGTACAATTACCTGTTGATGGTATGCCCTAATTATTTCTGTATTCATTTATTTTTAAATGAAAATTCATTGTCTATTCTTCTTTTGATTGAATTATTTCAATTTAGGTGGTCGTCATGCAATGTGCCCACGTTAGATCGATTGTTCGTTAAGGAGTATCAATAGGGTGTTTGAAAAAATGGCGCTATTAAAAAGAAGAAAACAAACTTAAACTCATTGTGCCTTATAACGTACATTTATATTAATTGATTTAAGATAGAATTTGAAGTGGGAAATGCTTGGTTAATATTAATAATAAAGATTAAAATGCTTTGATTTTTATGACATTTTTCATGTTGCACTTCACAAGTGTCAAAGACTTAAATGATAGTGATCCTCTTACAACTAATAGTATCGAAAATGGTTTGTAATTTTGTCGAATTCCGAAAGTCATCAGCTTCGTTGCAACGCCCGAAGTCTCATCTAAGAGTACAAAGCGGTTTCGCTCAAAAAATTCTGTAAATAGTTGCAAACGGTCTCCACTTCAGCGTTCCACGGCATTCCACTGTGTTTTGCCAAAATTCGTAGGCACGTTTGTTCCATAGCTTTGCATTTTACTTTATCGTTGAACATAAGATGTTTTCTTTCGCGCTGGAAGTATTGATAGTCTGGATCTAATTTGATACGCTCGAATGAAATGGGCCAATTGTTGAGTGAACATTTTTCACAATCGCAATGAAATCCAAAATCACGATATAAAGTCTCTTGACGCAAAAAAATTGGGCCAAACCACAGTGTGTCGTCGCCATAATTAGTGAATATTTGTTCTCCTTTTCTCACCTTACGCGATGTGATGCAAACCGTTTTGTTTGCTGACATGAAACGCAATACATTCGGTGCACACGAATGGTTCATATGATTTTGAATCAAGAATATTCCGCCGGTTATCTTATCTTGAAACGAATTTGAATATATGAGTCGAGTATGCATCAGTGACAGGTGCATGAGGAAGCAATTATCTTCCTTTGATCGAATCTTTGCTTTGATAGCTGGTTGCTCTACCGCTTTCAGGAACACATTAATTGCGCGACCAAATAAATCACTCGTCTCCTCATCAGACATCCAAATATTAAGCTTCAAAAACGTGTGGTACTTGGATTCCATGTCAGCAATACTAGGTGGTACTTTATTTCTTTTGCCATCATTGACAACACCTTCGACGAATGTTATCAAATTTTCAATGTTGGGGAAAATGTTAGCCGCAAGTAAGATTGATCGTGTTACATACACTTCCAGACCATCAGCATATCCGTTGTCGCTGAAGACACTGCCGCAGGATAGTTTATGAAATTGACCACTTTCAACACAAGCTCGACTGCAGAACACCGTGGTCGCGCAATTCTCACAAGCGATAAAATTCATTGAATTTTTAAAACACTTGCCACACAGTTCATATACTCCCGATGACCTTATGGGCATGCTAATGAAAGCATCTTCAGCCAAAATCACTTTTCCAACGTCAATGTCACACTTAGCAACGAGATGTCGTCCATACTTGCGATTGCATTCCATTTGTACAATATTTGCCAGTCCAGGAAATTGCTCGTTCTCGTCATAATCCAACTTTGAATATGGGCCGCCTCTTTCAATCTGTGGTGATTTCGTCAATTCATTTAGGCATTATGTGCGGCGCTGCTCCAGTTTCGGTATCAATTGCACTGGGTAGTTTGCTTGTATAGCCATTTCGATATCAGCTACACATTTGTTATACATTTGTAACTTGAGAAAGCACAGAGAGCGATTTGCATATGCCAAACTGATGTTTTCTGATCCAATTTCAGCATAACACAAACTTTTGTTGTAGAGCTGCATTGCCTCGTGCCACATTTGTTGGCTGACTTTTTCGTTGCCTTGTTGTCGGTATATTGTGGATGAGCTGTCACATTTCTGATTCGGACGAGCATGAACATTTAATGAATTGAACTGATCAGCTAGAGAGTCAGCATTGAATCCAAAGATGTTTTTGTACGATGAATTATTCGGTTCCTTTTGCCAAAGCATTTTCGACAAATGTAAGGCGTGAATTCAACCGGCAGCTGTGGATCATTCGTTGGAAAAAAAATAAACTTGAAATGAACATTCGAATTGGTAACATATCGAAAGCAAACAAATGAAAATTTCTTACCGAAATTATCTTTGAAAATAATTTAAAATGTCACTTATTCGATGCAGCGGGCACTGAATATACGCACGAGAATGTTACTTTTCCAAAAATTATTCCAAAATGCGCTTGGTCAATATTGCTTTTCTTAGTTTTTCAATGACAATAAATTTTATGCTTAAAGTGTACGTTAAACAGTAATAGTGAAATGATTCAGAGTTTGAATAAATATCGCGGCACAATGAAACCGCGAGAAATGTCAAATGATCCCCACATTTTTCAACAAAAGTATTTTTGAATCATTTTTGACACACAGATGACTCTGTTCGAATGAGAAATAAATTGGAATGAATGAAAAAAAGGAAATTTTGCAAGATATTCATATACATTTGGTGAAGATGAACATGAAATGAAATGTATTTGAATTGAATAAAAAAAAATTGAACGGAGATAGCCTCTACTCGACCAATCAACATTTATGTTAATGTTTGGAACGATATTTGTGAAAAAAAGTAAATTGGCAAACAAATGAAAAAAGAAACGAATATTGTGCCATTACATCCAAAAATTATTTAATGCATATTTTTATACAAAGTTTTTCCAAAGTAATAACAACGCTGGGACTGATCGCTTTTTTCAAAGGTGGAAAATATTTTTCTATGGAATTTTTCAATACTTTGTTATAAAATAAAAAACACGTTGTCTTTAAGATTTCAAAGCGACTTGCAGTGGCGAGGAGTTGCTGATTGTTAATCCACCTGAAAAAAAAATGAATTATTGCATTATGTTACGCGTTTGGATGAACAATAATTATTACCGTCAATGGGTAGTATAACACCCGTGATGAATGCTGCATTGTCATTAGCCAAAAATGCAATCGCATTTACACATTCTTCCGATTCACCAACCCTTCCAACCGGATGCATGCTTGCCATGTTCTTCAGTAGCGCAGCATATTCCTCTCCATTTCGATCCATGCCAAGATAATCGCGGAAGTTTGTGTCAATCACAGCCGGATTAATTGAATTGACTCGAACGCCTATAAATAATTGATGAATTGAAAATAAATCGAAGTTAAGGCTAAAAACTCAAAAGATGAACCTTTGCTAGCTAGCTCAAGTGCAAGGCATCGAGTAAAGTGATCTAGCGCAGCTTTTGATATGCAATACACAATGGAGCCTGGAAACGGTTTCAAGGCAGCAACGCTAGATACATTGACAATATTTCCTTTCGATGAAATCAAATAAGGGACGGCTAGTTGGGTAAGCAGAAAAGTACCGCGAACATTTGCTCCTATTACCTGAAAAAATATTTCATTACACACATTTTATTCTGGTCTATTCAATGATAAATGGCTTGTTGCTAACCGCGTCGAAATGCTCTGGCTTCACATTTACAAATGAGCCAGGAATCGAAAATGCAGCATTGTTGATCAACACATCTAAACGACCGTACTTTCCGATCGTTTCACTTATGATACGTTCATAATCAACGGAGATGTCTGCCAAAATCACCAATGGCTCCCTTTCGACACTTTTCTTCTTAATTTGAGCCACAACCACTTCAAACCTTTCCGGTTTGCGTCCAACCAAAGCAAGATGAGCTCCTGTTCAAAAATACTATTGCAATGAACGGAACAAAAACCAATTGAACAAATTGATGGTTTTTTACCGTTGACAGCGAAAAACTCTGCACACGCTGCCCCTATGCCACTGCTCGCACCTGTAATTAAGATGACCTTGTTCTTGAATGACATTTTTCCCGTTCCAATTAATTTTATTTAAAATGAGCAAACAATAATTTAATCGATTGGTTAAAGTTTTAAAGACGAAATTTCCAAACTCAAGACGAAAAATCAACTGACGCTTAACGAGCAAATGACATTGGTTTTAAGCAAGACAAAACCAATTGGACCTACATCAATATATACATTTTGCGTTGCAATTATTCTTTCTCCAGTAGATTTGCTATCAGAATTGTTCAATTAGCAATAAAGTGATCAAAAAATAAATATTTGTTAATGAATGTGCATGTGCCGTGCACAATTCAATTGCTTTGGCATTGCGGCTAGATTGGAACAAATCAAATCACAGTGCATACGCGCGAAGTAGAAGGTTTGGTTCTTCGCAATCAAATGAACATTTGTTTACAAGGAAACAACACAGAGTCAATTGCATAATAAACAAATCTTCTGTGCATTCATTTAGCGGTTTGTTGATAAAAATAATCATGTAATAAAAAAAATAAACACATGGTTCAACCAGAAAATTCACCATTTATTCAAGCTAATACGGTAACATATACAATCGTATATTATTTATATTTCTGAGTGATAGCAGTATATCTACGTTGGTGTTGATTAGTTTTTTTTTTTATCTAAAATTCACTTTGAATTCTGATAATAATAGTACTCAATGAAGCAGCGGACTTGTCGGCACACTCGTGGATTTAGCAT